CCCCAGTCCTGCGTCCCCAGTCCTGGTCCCCAGTCTGGTCCCCAGTCCTGGTCCCCAGTCCTGGTCCCCAGTCCTGGTCCCCAGTCCTGGTCCCCCGTCCTGGTCCCCAGTCCTGGTCCCCAGTCCTGGTCCCCAGTCCTGGTCCCAGTCCTGGTCCCCAGTCCTGGTCCCCAAGTCCTGAGTCCCCCAGTCCTGGTCCCCAGTCCTGGTTCCCCAGTCCTGGTCCCCAGTCCTGGTCCCAGTCCGGTCCCCAGTACTGGTCCCCAGTCCTCGGTCCCCCAGTCCTGGTCCCCAGTCATGGTACCCAAGTTCCTGGTCCCCAGTTCCTGGTCCCCCCAGTCCTGGTCCCCAGGTCCTGAGTTCCCCAGTCCTGCGTCCCCAGTCCTGGTCCCCAGTCCTGGTCCCCAGTCCTGTGTCCCCAGTCCTGGTCCCCAGTCCTGGTCCCCAGTCCTGGTCCCCAGTCCCCTGGGTCCCCAGTCCTGGTCCCCAGTCCTGGTCCCCAGTCCTGGTCCCCAGTCCTGGTCCCCAGTCCTGGTCCCCAGTCTGGTCCCAGTCCTCGGTCCCCAGTCATGGTCCCCAGTCCTGGTCCCCAGTCCTGGTCCCCAGTCCTTGCGTCCCCAGTCCTGGTCCCCAGTCCTGGTCCCCAGTCCTGGTCCCCAGTCCTGGTCCCCAGTCCTGGTCCCCAGTCCTGGTCCCCAGTCCTGGTCCCCAGTCCTGGTCCCCCTCCTGTCCCCAGTCCTGGTCCCCAGTCCTGGTCCCCAAGTTCCTGGTCCCCAGTCCTGGTCCCCAGTCCCTGGTCCCCAGTCCTGGTCCCCAGTCCTGGTCCCCAGTCCTGGTCCACCAGTCCTGGGTCCCCAGTCCTGGTCCCCAGTCCTGGTCCCCAGTCCCTGGGCTCCCCAGTCCTGGTCCCCAGTCCTGGTCCCCAGTCCTGGGTCCCCAGTCCTGGTCCCCAGGTCCTGTGTCCCATGTCCCTGGTCCCCCAGTCCGTGTGTCCACCAGTCCTGGTCCCCAGTCCTGGTCCCCCAGATCCTGGTCCCAGTCCTGGTCCCCAGTCCTGGTCCCCAGTCCTGGTCCCCAGTCCTGGTCCCCAGTCCTGGTCCCAGTCCTGGTCCCCAGTCCTGGTCCCCAGTCCTGGTCCCCAGTCCTGGTCCCCAGTCCTGGTCCCCAGTCCTGCGTCCCCAGTCCTGGTCCCAGTCCTGGTCCCCAGTCCTGGTCCCCAGTCCTGGTCCCCAGTTCCTGGTCCCCAGTCCTGGTCCCCAGTCCTGGTCCCCAGTCTGCGTCCCCAGTCCTGGTCCCCAGTCCTGGTCCCCAGTCCTGGTCCCCAGTCCTGGTCCCCAGTCCTGGTCCCCAGTCCTGGTCCCAGTCCTGTCCCCAGTCCTGGTCCCCAGTCCTGGTCCCCAGTCCTGGTCCCCAGTCCTGGTCCCCAGTCCTGGTCCCCAGTCCTGGTCCCCAGTCCTGGTCCCCAGTCCTGGTCCCCAGTCCTGGTCCCCAGTCCTGGTCCCCAGTCCTGGTCCCCAGTCCTGGTCCCCAGTCCTGGTCCCCAGTCCTGGTCCCCAGTCCTGGTCCCCAGTCCTGTCCCCAGTCCTGGTCCCCAGTCCTGGTCCCCAGTCCTGGTCCCCAGTCCTGGTCCCCAGTCCTGGTCCCCAGTCCTGGTCCCCAGTCCTGGTCCCCAGTCCTGGTCCCCAGTCCTGGTCCCCAGTCCTGGTCCCCAGTCCTGGTCCCCAGTCCTGGTCCCCAGTCCTGGTCCCCAGTCCTGGTCCCCAGTCCTGGTCCCCAGTCCTGGTCCCCAGTCCTGGTCCCCAGTCCTGGTCCCCAGTCCTGGTCCCCAGTCCTGGTCCCCAGTCCTGGTCCCCAGTCCTGGTCCCCAGTCCTGGTCCCAGTCCTGGTCCCCAGTCCTGGTCCCCAGTCCTGGTCCCCAGTCCTGGTCCCCAGTCCTGTCCCCAGTCCTGGTCCCCAGTCCTGGTCCCCAGTCCTGGTCCCCAGTCCTGGTCCCCAGTCCTGGTCCCCAGTCCTGGTCCCCAGTCCTGGTCCCCAGTCCTGGTCCCCAGTCCTGGTCCCCAGTCCTGGTCCCCAGTCCTGGTCCCCAGTCCTGGTCCCCAGTCCTGGTCCCCAGTCCTGGTCCCCAGTCCTGGTCCCCAGTCCTGGTCCCCAGTCCTGGTCCCCAGTCCTGGTCCCCCAGTCCTGGTCCCCAGTCCTGGTCCCCAGTCCTGGTCCCCAGTCCTGGTCCCCAGTCCTGGTCCCCAGTCCTGGTCCCCAGTCCTGGTCCCCAGTCCTGGTCCCCAGTCCTGGTCCCCAGTCCTGGTCCCCAGTCCTGGTCCCCAGTCCTGGTCCCCAGTCCTGGTCCCAGTCCTGGTCCCCAGTCCTGGTCCCCAGTCCTGTCCCCAGTCCTGGTCCCCAGTCCTGGTCCCCAGTCCTGGTCCCCAGTCCTGGTCCCCAGTCCTGGTCCCCAGTCCTGGTCCCCAGTCCTGGTCCCAGTCCTGGTCCCCAGTCCTGGTCCCCAGTCCTGGTCCCCAGTCCTGGTCCCCAGTCCTGGTCCCCAGTCCTGGTCCCCAGTCCTGGTCCCCAGTCCTGGTCCCCAGTCCTGGTCCCCAGTCCTGGTCCCCAGTCCTGGTCCCCAGTCCTGGTCCCCAGTCCTGGTCCCCAGTCCTGGTCCCCAGTCCTGGTCCCCAGTCCTGGTCCCAGTCCTGGTCCCCAGTCCTGGTCCCCAGTCCTGGTCCCAGTCCTGGTCCCCAGTCCTGGTCCCCAGTCCTGGTCCCAGTCCTGGTCCCCAGTCCTGGTCCCCAGTCCTGGTCCCCAGTCCTGGTCCCCAGTCCTGGTCCCCAGTCCTGGTCCCCAGTCCTGGTCCCCAGTCCTGGTCCCCAGTCCTGGTCCCCAGTCCTGGTCCCCAGTCCTGGTCCCCAGTCCCTGGTCCCCAGTCTGGTCCCCAGTCCTGGTCCCCAGTCCTGGTCCCCAGTCCTGGTCCCCAGTCCTGGTCCCCAGTCCTGGTCCCCAGTCCTGGTCCCCAGTCCTGGTCCCCAGTCCTGGTCCCCAGTCCTGGTCCCCAGTCCTGGTCCCCAGTCCTGGTCCCCAGTCCTGGTCCCCAGTCCTGGTCCCCAGTCCTGGTCCCCAGTCCTGGTCCCCAGTCCTGGTCCCCAGTCCTGGTCCCCAGTCCTGGTCCCCAGTCCTGGTCCCCAGTCCTGGTCCCCTCCTCTTTTTACTCACAAGCTCTCCACCTGTCCATCACTCTCCTTCCAGCTGGAGCTGGGTATACTCTAATTGCTCCCTCACATAATGGCAACCCCACCACCTTGGTTCCCCAGCCTGTCTCTCCTAAAGAGGACGTAGCCCTCCATGACTTTGTTCCAGTCATGCGAGCTGTCCCACCATGTCTCAGTGATCGCAACGAGATCATGGCCCCGCGTCCGAACGCAGACCTTGAGCTCATCCTGTTTATTTCCCACACTCTGTGCACTGGTGTACACGCACTGTAGGGAAGCAGCAGGTACAGTTACCCCAGGGAGGTGCAAGAAGAAGATACTGGACAGGGAATTGGGAACGCTACCTTCTCTGAGGAGCCCTCAGACAATCTGATGGGAGAGCTCAGAAGTTTTTCCCTGTATTGTGACAGTAGTGTGAAATGTGTTCATCTGATTCGTGTCAATGTGGAACAGTGCTAGGGCCGCATGGTATGATGAATGTGACCTTCTGTCCTACAGACCCTTCTATAAGCACAAGTCTAAGAAAAACGGAGTGGTTAATGTACATAGTTCTTTTACCTTGCGAAGGAATGTTTTAGCAAATCATGTCAACAGAGAGCTTGAAAGGAAATGTATTTGTAGGCTTTTCCTTGAAGTCTCTGATATCTGCGGGGGGGTTCAGAATAGCTGATACTACGACTATTGCATGGGACACTACGCAAGTCTCTGGTATCTGGCCAGGAGACTAAGGAGACGGGGAAAGCTGAAGAACGACTAAAAGACAAAGCTTGCAGGGGACGCTGCACAAGTCTCTGACATACAGCCAAGCTGGACAAAGGAGAAGGACCAGAGGGAGGAAGACTATGAGCCTTCAGCATGAGAGACCCCCAGAGGGACCACCAGAGACTGTTACGCATGCTCCAGTAGGAGGGTTTGGATTCCGGAAACTAATTATAATAACCCTGTGGTTTTTTTTAGAAGTAGTATTGAGTATGTGTTAGCCTAGGAGCATAAAAATCAGCTGCTTGATGTAACTGGTGTGAGTCTGGGTGGAGCAGAGATTCCCAGCGCACCCAGAGCTGTTTGCTTACCTCTATTCCTTTAATAAATTGTAACCTTTGATTATAGTCCTGTTTTGAAGACTGAGCCATTTATAACAGTAGTGAGGACTTCCCCCAGCCCTTCTCTGTCACCTTTAGCTCCCCTCCCTTCCCCCATCAAACCTAGTTTAAAGCCCTGGTAATCAGCCCAGAGAGCTTGCTCCCCAGCACACTTGCGCCCCACTTGCCCAGTCCTGGTCCCCAGATTTTTGTGCCAGGAACATGATTCCACAGAGCTTTCAAGCCTTTCTGTAGCTTTAAAGATGCTGAAATGGTCCCTGGCTTAAGAAGAACTAGTTCCCCGCCTGGCACTACGAATCACTGCTTAGGGCTAAAAGCTGAGGCTCTTGTCTGTTACGTGAACAGCCAGGGAGACTCGGCCTCCCTTCTCTGTTGAGTTCGGTGCTGCCTAGCCTTAACATTTTCAGTACTCAGTAGCGTCCCCCAGGCTCTTGTATTTTGAGAGGGATTGCACTCCCCTTACATCATATGGGAATCCCAGTTTTCTGTCTCAAGGGTGAATGGTGTCAGGCACTTCTGAATCATTGCAGGTTGTTGTTGTTGTCCATTGCCATGTAAATTCAGGCCATGCAAGTACCTTCTACCGTTTCTTCTTCCCTTTCATTTGTTGTCTGGTTTCTACTAAATATTAACATATTTGGTGAAATGCCTTAAAACAACATTACTTTTTAATTAACAACTTTTTTTTTTTTTTTCTCTCTAGGTCTGCCAGTAGCTGACAGAGTAGAAAGGTGTGCCTCTCTCTCTTTTTTGTGTAGAGTTAGAGGCAAGCCTGATATCCAGCCAAGATGGACAAAGGAGAAGGACTAGGACAAAGCCTGGGAGGAAGACTATGAGCCTTCAGCACGAGAGACCCCCAGAGGGACCACCGGGGACTGATACGCATGTGCCAGTGGGAGGGTTCGGAATCCGGGAACTAATTATAATAACCCTGTCTTTTCTAGCAGTAGTAATGAACATGTATTAGCCTAGGAGCACAAAAAGCTGCCGCTTGATGTGCGTGTTGGAGGAGCCCAGACTCCCCGCGCACCCAGCGCTCTTTACTTGCCTTTTATTAACCCCATAAATAGATCTCATAAAGCTAAGTTGACTTGGAATTTATAACAGTATGATGAAAACTGTTGCACTCCAAGTTGGGAAGGGGAGAGGAAAATGCTCATGTATACGTGAGAATTGTACTCAAACAGCTGATTACACCTTTGCATACACCTTTTAAGGGAAATCTTTAAACCTGAGAAGCAACAGGCAGTTTTCTATGTTTCCTGATATGATAACATGATATATGATATTGGTATGATATCAAAGGATGATATCATACCTGTAGTCTGCTGCAGGCTGAAAAGTAGCCTGTGCCTCAGGCTACTTTTTATGCCTTTTTTTTATGCCTTTGCTTTTGTTACTACATCCCTGTAAGTCTTCAAAAGGGAAATGAAATTATCCTCCCCAGAAGAAACACCGTCCGGAAGACACTTGAGTTGTTAGGGCCTGAATTCTCACTGAAACCAAAGGCAGGGATCTTGCTGATCTGAAGAAAGAGGCTTTAATCTCTTACATGTCTTTTGTATTTAATTCATTAGGTCAACTCTAACCACTAAGCCCCTTATCAGGTTATTTCTATTAGCAATAAGGAGCAATTGAACCTTAAACATTGAAACCTAGGCTGATGAGCCTAGTTCCACAAGGTCTCATGACTCTACACATGTGAAGTGAAATCTGCCAGGTGGGGATCATTTGACCTTTACTATATAGGAAGCATGAGGAGTTATGGGAAGAATTGCTACTCCAGGGGAGTTTGAGATTCAGGTTACTTAGGGTGCTTTTCTGCTGTCCTGGTGGAATAGACTCAGTGTTCCTAAGTAGGCTGCTTTTTCTTTGTGCTTTTTACCATCTCTGTGAAGTAGTTTTGGACACTCTATGAGCTAGTAACATCAGCAGTGACTACTCAGAACAGGAAAAGCCTGGTGGTGCTACTTCTTCGTGAAGTTGTTCGGCAGTGAGTCAAATTCAGAAGCTGGCAGGTAGGTGTTCCTGGGTTAAAAATTTGATTTGGGTTGGGGAGCTTGAGGACTTCTTTCACCTTGTCTGTTTCCAGAGAACTTACATAAATGGATTCTCAGCTGGCCCCCAGTCCTGGTCCCCAGTCTGAAATAACATCATACTTTGTTATCTGTAAGCAAGTCCTGTGCAATAATTCAAATTCATTATCTGTTATCTCCTGCCAAGCTTTGCAATATGAGTCAAACCAAACATCTTTCTTCATAATAGCAAGCTATTGTTGGCAGCAACCTCTTTGACTCCTTTGCTATGTTCTAGGATGGTTGTGTCCAAGAGCTATTTTCTGTTTCTAAGTTGATGATAAATTTTTCTTTTTCAGCCCTGTAATCTTAACTAGAAAGCCAATTTTTTATCTTTGCTGGACCTTGGCTAGGATAATTTCAACATCTGTTGCACCATTAAGATGGCAATAATTTTCTGTGAGCAATTGCTTTCATAAGTTTAATTTTAAACAATAATGTTGTGGGATATAAAGAACTTTATCTATCTTTTAAGTATTTTAAACAGTTTTTCAATAATCCTTTTCACAGTTCCAGGAAGATGTAACAGAGGCAGTGAAATTTGTTCTGGCGTATTCCACTGACTGGTTGGTGCTGGTTGGAACACTTGGAATTAGGCCTTGAGCTTTACTCACCTAAGGTGTGGTGGTGATGCGTTGGTGTGAGTATTTGGCAATAGATCCAGAAAATTAGGATGGCTTAGAATGAGCTGTGGAAAGGGGGAATCCATTTTAAGAAATCTGGGCCTGCTAAGAAAGCCACTGAAAATATTAGAATGTCCAAATTGCTTATCTTAGCAGCTTGATATTTTGACTTGAGGGAAACTGAGGCAAATGCTGTTATTTGTGTTGGGGCCAGGCTCCAAAGATATAACATCATACATGAGGTTAACATGTTCCCTGGTATTACCAAATTCAGTGGACTTACCTTAGTGGTTTATGAGTTTTCTTCACAATGGGCTCATTTGACTTGTCTGAGGAAGCAAAAGCCTCTTTTTCTGTCCTGGTAAAACTGGTTTGTGTTGCAGTTCATATTGCAGCAATACCTCAGAGTCCTGCCTGTGATGTTATGCTGAAAGGCAGTGTAAAAGTACAGGGGAAGAGATGTTTGTTCAAGTGGCTTGCTAACTGCAAATCAAAATTAACAAAAGAGAGAACAAGTTCAGTTACTAGTGTGGGTATTTATTTTTTAAAAGGAGCTGAGGCCCAGTTGTGTATCAGCTGTATTTTTGAAGTGATTCAGCATTGGCAAAATTGTTTTGATCTGCATCCAGATAGATGAACAACAATTTATTTTTTGAAAACACTCATCTGTGACCTGTCACACAAGCTCTGCTAAATGTGATGGCATTCTCCTGGAAACAATTAGCTGTGAATATTTATAGTCTCTGTTGGGACTCAAATATCTCTCAGGCTGACTGTAGATGTAATTAACATCTTAATTAGCTGATGACGTGAGGTGACTTTGCGATATTCTGAGAATTGGTTCAGGTTCAGATGGGCTGTAGATCTCTCTGTAAAGGTTCTGGTCTATGTGTCTTGCCACACTTATGCTGAAGGAGCTATTGGCTAATTAGCTGATGCCTCACACATGTTATCCGACAAGATTAGGGAAAACCTTTTTTGAAGGGTTTCTGAAGTGTAGAATGAAGCTAGGAAGGCCAGATAACCTCACATTGTCCTGGAGAGAGAGATTCAGATCTACAGAGCATAAGAAAAGTTAGAGATGATGGTCGTGAGCTGCTGCTTTTTGAGACAGGGCTTGGATCTGAAGCTCTTCTGCAAAGAGCTGAAGCCAGGATTACTTATATTGGGAATGGCTGGGTCAATACTTTACTGATGATTTTTGTATAGTAAAACCACCCAGTTATTTCCTGTGAGTGAGTAGGAGTGAGATCTTTATCTCTGCAACACATATCAAGGGCATGCAGAATCATTTTTAATCAAGTTTCTCAATAGTGCTTTAAAGGTAGAAGTCCTCCTTCATATGTATCAGTCAGGTGAAGTAATTTCTCTTGTCAGTGACTGATTTTTCACCTTTAATTCTGAGCAATTGGAATTCAGATTTAGATCAAAGTTCTCTCCTGCTTACAAATGAGTGATAAATGAATTTTTTTAGACTTTCTTTTCTAAGTTGCACACATGGTCTCTCTAGACCGTTTGAAACATTTTAGCAATTTGTTTCAGCAGGTTTGTTTGGTTAAAATAAGATAGATATCAGTACTGAAAGATCTTTGATTTTGGAAAAAGTAAAACTTTAAAAACTTCTAGTTCAAAATAACTATGTTAGAAATTTTTATAAATGTGATTTAAAGAAAAATAGTTCCAGTTGAACAAATTATTTTTGTTACTGATATTTCTAAATTGATTTGTTTGTCTCAAAGATGATATCCTTTGCAAAATTCTGTATTCATTCAGCATCTCTCCAGCGTCATGTTTTCAGATTTAGTGCAGCTCTCTTGCTTCTGTAAAGGTACAACTCTGACTCTAGGTGTTTCAACTCAGACTTTAGTGTATGATGCTGAAAATCATAGTGACATCTGATTTCTATTTAGCTAACAGACAACCTCCACGTCTCTTTTATCATTCAACATCTCTGCAGATCTGTATGCAATGCACCATACAGGTCTTATGATTCCCACCTGACAGAAAAGGAAACAGTAGACACTGATGGAATGGTTTCTGTAGCCCTTGCTTCAAGGCTATTGTAGAGTTTTGAAGGATAGGTGTGTATAAATATGAAAATATAATGCTGATGCATTAATATGAAAGCTATTTTTTTTTACGCTGTGCAATTGCTTGAAGTTAGAAGATGAAAGGGCATCTATCCAAAGCTGATTTTTTTTTTTCAGAGACTGAAATCTGAGGCCCTGGGGAAGGAGGTGGCACTGCTTATCCATGGTAAATCTTCTCGTGTGCAGAGATTATTGAGCTTAGCTCCATTGTGCAATTGGAATTTGACTTTGGACTGTTTTCTGTCTTGTTTGCTTGGCAAGATGAGGTCTGTGTAGGTTTTGCAGCCTACATATATGTGTTTAAAAAAAAAAGACTAAAAGGCTGAAGCCAGAGAAGATCACAATCTGTAGACCTGACACTGTATTTATTTGTGAATTTGCATTATTTGTGAATTCTGAATGTTTCTTTTCTAATGTAACATCTAGCTGTCATTTTGTAACACCTTCAGCATGTTTTAAGATAGCTAACTACCTTTCTTGTTTCATTTAAATACCAGTTTAGGTGTTTAAACACTATTTAAGGTGATTAAATGATGACCAGATCCCATTGTCATCAAAGAGGTGGTACAATTGTACTTCTCTCTTGCAGCAATATGAAATCCCCCATTAGTCATACATTTCTGTAGTCCTGGATTATCAGAAGGTGACAAACTAATATATGAGGTAATCATAGCATGCTGTTTGCAGCTGTTATTGCTACCCACAACTTATTGCACTTAAGTTATTCAAATAACTGTATATATGCTGGAGAAGCTGGTGCTTGCCATAAGGCATTCTGATTAATTTTGCCTCAGATCAAAAAGGCATTTTTATTTACTCCACTTTGTCTAAATTAAGACAAATACAAAAGTGTGTGCATGTAGATGTGCACTACAAAGCAGATGAAGACAAAAGGAAAATTATAACTTCCTTTTTACTTAATGTAATATTGCTCGGAGCTTTAAAGATTGCTTTGTGTTTTCTTGTCAGTAATATGGTCTCCGTAGTCTTAAAGATTAAAAAAAGAGTGCAAGTAGCATATATATGAAGAACACTATTGGTTTTATATTAATCACTCTGGAAATGTCAAAAAAATCTGTACTGTTCCAATATATGGCTTCTTAGACTTTGAGTAATTCCACACATTAACTGCATGCTTGATGTTTGTCTTTGAAAGTCTCCTTAAGTTGTGGAGGAATTCAAGAAAAATGCAAAACAAACAAAAAACTACAAGATACTTAAACCTTGAAGTAGAAAACTTTTTTGAAATCATAATCCTAGGGGCAGATTTGTAGTTCCCTAAATCAACACTGGAACAAACTACAAAATCACAATTTGTTTGGGCACAAATTGCATAGGCCTTGCAGACACCAGTGATTACCTTTCCCTGAGGACAAATGATCAGCAGTTAAAGCTTTCTCACTGATGACAAGAACTTAATGTTGTTACTGGTGCTATGAGGATTCAGTGTTTAGTTCTTTCATTAACTTAGTGCATGAATAAAAATACTGTTGATCATAATTCTTGGCTTTCAAAGAGCTTTTGAAGTTCTTATCTTCCAAAGCCTTTTTGAGTGTCTGGGAAAAGCAGTGTTTAAGGAAAGGCAGCATCAGCAATGAGACTTGGTGGTGGTGATGAGTAGGAGAGTTATTTAGGGGTGTGTTTTGGGTATGGGAATAATGATGCTATTTTGAGAAAGAGAATATTAAGCTGTTCAGGAGGGAAGGTGCAGGGATTCTGGAAAAAAGAGTTGTGAAGTGGTGGTATCCTGTTTGTGGATCTTAAGTGAAGTGAGTAATAGAAAGCAATGCTGAGGCAGTCTTGTATTGGCTGTGAAATAGCTGGGATGGTATAATTGACCTGCTGTGTTTCATGGCTAAGAAATGGACCAAGTAATTGATTCTATTTGCATGAGGAGAGGGTAGGGCTCCTCTGAATCCCCCTTTCTCTGGGATAGTATCTGCTGGGATAGCTTGGGGAAATTGAGCTGAATAATCTATCCCCTTTTCATTTAATAAAGAATGTTTTACAGACATTCTAATGGAAGTAGATTCCTACTTTTTATTTTTTTAATATTTGATTTTCTGCAGGAAAATAGCCTTCTTTCTAAAGCTGGACAAACTAGTTTTGCAAGAGCAGAAATAGATGATTCTCAGCCGTGACTGCTCTGCATTAATTTGTTCATAAGCATTTAATACAGATAGAAAGTAATAAAGACAAGTTCAGGGAGAAGTTAAGAGAAGTCCGGTGTAGAGATACTAACACCCATTCAAACTATCTTTTGGTCTTTCATTCAAAGAGCCTTTCAAGTACTGCAGTTTCAGACTATGAGCCATTGTACTCTGATTCCATTTCTATTCAGAAGGCTGTGCAATGTGAGACTATGGAGTGAGTGGCAGGTTATTAGGTGGTGTAGATGGAAACTATCAGGTAGTAGCACCGTGTGTTTAGGATAAGGCCTTCTAAACACTTGTCACTGGAACATCAATGTAGAAGGAAGAGACTTGTTTGTTAAAAGAGGATTTTAGTCTAGCAACTTTCCTTGGACAACGTCCTCTCTTTCTCTGCAGCATTCCTTTGATACTGGCCTCCATGGCACAGGCAAGTACATTAGGGTGGAATCCACTGTAGTTCATGAGGTTACTTTCTTTACCCACATGAAGTGAATTAGCTACCAATATGAATGAGACTGATTTTAAAAATAAATTTAAGTTACTAAACTTTTCCTCACCATGTGCTCTGTGCCCTACTTGCATCCTGTGATGCAAGAGTGTACTTGCCTCCTCCTGTCATCAAGCACAGAGGAAGGAAAGAGTGTGGCAGAGCTAGAATCGCCTCTTGCACACTCTGAAATCTACCAGTCCGTGCACACATGCTAATTTAGGGTTATTGTAATATGCTGCTCTTACAGGCAATGAGTCAATTCACACCAGAGTAAAAAGGCAGCAGGGAGGGTTTTTTGCTCAGATGTTTCCCCTGTGGTGTCTGTTGGACCTCCTGTGAGAGTGAACCCACACAAGAACACTTTAAAGGAAGCTCTGAGGAGGAGTGAACTGTTGTGATCTCCAGGCCCATGTGGAAAAGCACAGCCCTCTCCTGCCTGACCTGTCAGCTCCTCTGTTCCACCCACTGCTTATAGCTCCTCCCTTTCCCCTCATTGTATTTAAGCTGTAACTGTAAGCTTCTTTGGACAAGGATTCTTTTTTTTGTTTCTTCCTACAGGTATACTAAATTTCTAGAAAAAGGACACCGAGCAGTTGGTGAGGTAACAGACTAACACAGAGAAGCCCAAATAGATTTAGAGAAGACAGCATCCTGCCAATGAGTTTGCTGTGGCACTGAAGTGAGTTAATCTACCTTGCCAAACTGCATGCTGCTATAGGAGGACTGCCACAGGTACTTGAGTTTAGGGTTTGGAAAGCAGCTGTTGAGACCTCTCCCTAGTACCCTACAGTACTATGGTAGCTGTGATTTGGTTAGTAGCAAGCGCTTCACTTGAGGGTTAGAATTGTATAAATGCAAAACTTCATTAACAGTAGTATTTCCTAGAAAGCAATCCTTGGGCAGAAAGTGGTTTCAGTGTCCCCCAAAAACATGACAGTGGGTAGAAATCTCTGTGTTCTACTGACTCAGCTGAAGTGTTCTAATAGGCTGCAAGAAGCAGGGAGGGGACTGCCTAATGACTGCAAGTAATTAAGGGGTGGGGCGGGACAGCCTGGTCATAAAATCCCTATTTCTCCACCTCTAATCTGCATGAGGAGTTCCTGCCAGCCCATTTGGCTCAGTATCTTTTGTCACTGGACTTACATGCAACTGGGGCTGCAATGGGATCAAATTTAAGTTCAAATGAGGTAAGAATAAAGGCCCACAGTAATCATAAAGTGGGTGAAATTGATTTTTCCAGTTCAGTTGGTCATAACAGAACAAGCTGTTTCAGGTGTATGGGCAAGCTAGGAAAAGCAAGTTTGCTCTTCCTTGGATCTCATGGTTGCAAGTTTTTTTTTTTTTTTTTACTCTAACCTTATATAAAACCTTGTGGCATGTATATTTTCAAGATAAGTTTTAGGGCTAGCAGTGTTACTTACTGTGCTTGCTTAAAAGAAAAGCTTCAAGTCAAGGTAACAACAAGCTGGCATAGAGTTGTTGTGGGTTTAGTAATCAGTAAAGCACCTAATGACTGTCATTAATACATGTAGCCCTAAGTATGTTTTTGAATGGGAGATGTTTTTAAATGTCAGTCTAAAATAGAAGTTGAACATGTAGTTTTCTTAACTTTGCCTTGTGTTGTTTTTCCTAGACTTTTACGGGCACCTCAGCGACAGCAGAGAGAACGGTAGGTAGTTATTAGTTGGCCCTTCATTAAATGCTGTCGAGTGCCGAATGTAAAGCACTAGAAAAAATGTTGGGAATTCAATGGCTTGGGGGAAAACTGTACTGGCCTATTTACTGAACGTGGAAAGGCTGAGATGCAACTTCAGCTCTAGGTGAAATATTGCCTTGGTTTTCAGATGCTTATGATACTGTTGTGCTATATCTGGGCCGGTTTGTACTTTACATGTTTTCATTCTTGAATTCCTGCCTTCTTTCGTATATTGATTTCCTGGGATGAAATGGCCACTTGCATGGGCATTTTGCCTTCATAAGGAGGCTGTATTTGAGTGGGTCTTTCAGTTGCTCTTAGTGCTCCAGTGTTTCTTGTAGTTTTTCTTTGCATTGTAATGACCTGTTGTAGAACTTGACATTCACTGTGCAATATAGTGATAGAAAACACAACCTCAGAACACGTAAAACTGCAGTAAATGTGTCATGTTTTGTATCTCTGGTCTCATTAGCCTGGTAGTGGGAGGTGAGAGGGAAGAGGAACAGGGTGTTTTTTAGAGATTGAACTGAGGATGTATACTTTGTGCAGGCAAATAAAAACTTCCTGGGCAGATGGTAGATGTTTATGTTAAGACATATTAGCATAGAGGAAAATATGTCAGAAAAGATGTTAGGAGTCAGCAAATGGGGGCAGTGGCATCAGAACAGGATTGTCTTCAGAAACTTACCATGGGCTTGATGCTCTTGCCCTGCTCCAGTGATGTGGTGGTTTACCAGATGGGTTTGTTTTGAGCTTTGGTTGCACGTGATTCTAGTGGAAGTTTGTGGTGTTATGGAGGCTCTCCCAAACGATAATTTTGGTCCTTATCTCATGAATGTTTGCTGTTATTCATGGTATCTGATGCCTGATTTTGCCTGAGAGCCACTTGATGCCTTCTGTGTTCAGTCAAAGAGAAATGCTATGGCAAAACAAGACTTTGTGGAGTTTATTCAAGATGTAGCTTCTAAAATGATGTTTAGGCTTCTGTGTATAGACTCCCAGTCCCTCTATGCTAGTGTCCTATAAATTGTTATTGTTAGTCCTGTAAGCTCAGCCTGTGTTTACAGGATCTTTTTCTTTTTTTATTTTTTTTCCTTAGTATTTTTTATTTCGTTTATAAGGTGTGAGATCTGTATAGTTCAGTTTGGTTTAGCCATGCTAAATACTTTAAAGACAAAAGTGAACACAGTAAATATGATATAGAGTAGGAGTTTCCTTTCAAGAAGGAAACTGACATCTTTCAGAAGTCTCTTTCAGGAAGAGCCTGACTCTTCAGGGCTCCCAGAGACAGAAATCAGTAAGGGTCTGACACTTCATCCCTCTCCCCTCCCCCCCTTTATTTCACATGGTAGGTAGTAGTTGGTAAATATGTAAACATGGTAGGAATGGCAAGTATTTAAACATAAAATATCTGCTTTGTTTTGTGTCACTTCATAGCTCAGTAAGGAGAACAGCTTTTTTTACTGGTCAATTTCAGGGCAACCCATGGAATGTCTGATTAAAACTTAAATGGCCATTTAAATTAAAAGGATAATATAAAACATTTGGTGGAAAAATGTAGGTAGTGACCCTAAATTCAGAAACAAAACAAACCAAGCAAACAGTAATTTGAGTAACCAAAAAGTTGTTTCTTTGTATCATATCAAAATAACGTAGGCTAACATGTTCTTGACAAAAAGCCATGTTGAACTGTGGAAATATTTAACTCATTTTCTCTTCTGAGTTTTGGATTTGTTCTATTGTGGGTTTTGAGCTGTGGAGTCACAAACAGGAAGAGAAAAGGAAAACCACGTGAAAAAGTGGCTTAAGACTGCCAGATTTTTTACATAGCTTTTGGAAAAAGCCAGGCCTTGATTCAATGCTGCTCCATTTGGTCTTATTCTGGGACAACCCCAGTGAGCTCCATTGATTTTTAACAAGACCCAGCAATAGGATATTTTAAATTGGGTGGACTAAATACAAAACACACAGTACAAGGAAAGTGTTTCTTATGCATCTGACCTTGCCTGAGGTGGTAGACATAGTAACATAATTAAATGATTCTGTGAAATCCTGCCCACCCTTGAGGCTCCAAAACTCTTTGAAGTTAAAAGGTGCCACAGACCTGACAGAGGTCAGAACCAAGGCAAGAGGTCAGAACCAGTCTTTCTGACAGGGCTGAGCGTTTTCTTTGTTGGTCTTTACAAGTTTTTAGTTAGTAATGAAATTTCAATTTCTTTTTTGAAGGGAAAGCTAAAGGAAGAGCACTATGCTCCAAATATATCTGACACACTGTTTTACAAGGATAATTGCCTTTTCACTTGATTTATCTTGGGAATGTTTTATGTGTTTCACTTTAGTATCCCCAAGGAAAAAAAATCTGTAAAAGACAAAAGTCTTTTGCACTTCTGTAGAAATGTAGAAGGAATTTTACTCAAATATAATGCTTTTACAGCCCAGTTAGGTTACTTGTGTTCTTATAGATAAACACTCATGTTCACTCATCGTGAACAGTTCCATTGACTTCCCAGGGAACAGATATGTAAGGGTTGCACAAATGTGCCACAGGACTTAATTGAACTTTTATCTGACGTAGGATAGTGTGACGAAGTCCTGCTCTTGTAATCTCATATTTAAGTAGCTTCAACAGTGATTATTAAAATGCCTGGCTTGTGTTTCCGGTTGATGAGGTAACAATCAGGTCTTAGACTAAATAAATAGAGAAGCCGAAAGTTGAGTCATGTGTAATAGCTGACCTTGGAGGCTTCTGGCCTCAGAATTCACCCAGACTATGATACATGGCCATCATCAGATTAAAGGGAAATATTTAAATGGAAAGATGCAGGAGTTGGAATCAATGATCCTTGTGGGTCCCTTCCAACTCGGGTATTTTATGATTTGGAAGTCATTGTGTAAGAACAGATGATCCAGTTTAAGATATGCCCCTCTGTTTTTTTTTTTCTGTGTGGCTTTGAGGAAGTTGCTAAATGTAACAAAGCATTCAGACACTTAAATTTAGGAGCTATAAGGTCTGATTTCTAACTTTCTGCAGCCCGGAGTGAGGCATTGAGGACTGATTTAATATATTTGGAGAGTTAGGTGCACCAGAATGGGAACTGTAATACCTGAGCAGGGAACCTTGTAAGTAGGTATGTCCAGCTCATGGGGAAAGCTGAGCACAGGAGCATACATCTTTAATCCGATCTCTGCATGTTGCTTAGAGCTATAGTGAGATACCACTATCTACCCTACCTGACAAGCAATATATAGCCCTTGGGTTTGCTGAAATATCCCGCAACTGACACTTCAGGTGCTTCTAAACTGTGCACTGTGAAACTGTGCCCTGTAGTATGGTCTGAGCAGGCTGATGTTTCATTAAATAGAACGAATGTGCCTGTGCCAGTGACTGCTCTGACCCTTCTGCCAGTGGCTCACTGGCCTTCAGCTCTGTCTCTTCAGGTCCCCTGTGGACCTCCAGGGAAGTGGGAGAGGGATACACCAGGGGTTAACCAGGTTAACCTCATTGCTGAGGACAAGGATCTGCTTCATCACATTGTGTTAGGGTATAATGTCATGTCATGGTTCCATTTGGTTAATTTTGTCCAAGTGTTGTGAAACTCTTCAGGATAAGGCTAGTTATGCAGCTGGAAAGACATGCTCTGTCCAAGTGTGTAGTGTGTATGAAGGAGACTGTATGAAGGAGATGGTTAGTTAACATCAGCAAAATCATTTTTACTTTTGCTTCTTGTGAATAATATCAGCACTTCTGATGAAAAGTAATCATGGTTGCATCAAGACACTTTATGTTTACCTTATTAGGGTGTAGTACGAATAGTCTATGAATATAGGCATGAGAGAATTTATGAGGAAATTTAACATTTGCTTACCAGTTGGTATATGTGGAGAGATTACACACACTTTTGGGGCACAAAACATCCATTTCTGGTCTAAAATAGAACCAGTATACTCAAAGCTAAATATCAATTTAAAGAAAACGGTGAGATAAATGATTATATACATACACACACACTCTGGTTTTAAAAGTAAAAATGGTACAAATGAAACAGATGTTAATATGGAAGGGGAGAGAAACATGTTAAGTAGTTATCCTCCAAGTGAAATGAGGAAAAAGTTTAATTATAGCCTGAGGAATAAGACACATTAATATTACGCACAGAATTGCAGAATGGTCTGGGTTGAAAGGGACCTTAAAAATCATGTAGTTCCAACCCCCCCCCCCCCCCCCCCCCCCCACCATGGGCAGGGGTACCTCCCACTAGACCAGGTTGATCAAAGCCTCATTTATCCTGGTCTTAAACACTTTAAGGGATGGGGCATCCACAGCTTACCTGGGCAACCTGTCTCAGTGTCTCCCTGAACTCACTACTCTTTAAGTAAAGGATTTCTTCCTGACATCTAATGTAAATCGAAACTCTGCCCTCTTTTAGTTTAAAACCATTACTCCTTGTCCTATTGCTACACTCCCTGACAAAGAGTCCCTCCCCAGCTTTCCTGTAGGTCCCCTTTAGGTGCTGGAAGGCTGCATTGAGGTCTCTGCAGAACTTTCTCTTCTCCAGGCTGAATAACCCAGCTCCGTCAGCCTGTCCTCACAGGAGAGATGCTCCAGCCCTCCAGTTGTCCTTGTGGCCTTCTGGACTCATGCTAATACTCCCATTCCCTTCTTGTGCTGTGGGCCCCAGAGCTGAATGCAGTGGTCTCAGGAGAGCAGAGCAGAGGGGGAGAATCACTTCCCTTGCCCTGCTGGCCATGCTTCTTTTGATGCAGCCTAGGATGTGGTTGGCTTTCTGGGCTGCAAGTGCACATTGCTGGCACATGTTTCATCAACCAACACCACCATGTTCTTCTCTTCAGGGCTGCTCTCAATGCATTCCCTGTCCAGCTTGTAGTTGTGCTTAGGGTTGTCCTGGCTCAGATGCAGGACTTCGCACTTTGCCTTGTTGAATCTCATGAGGTTCACACAGGCCTGCCTCTCAAGCCTATCAAGGTCTCTCTAGACGGCATCCCTTCCCTCAGGCGTGTCAACAACAACACAAGATGTTATGAGGTATTAAAAAATTAGTATTTCTTAGCTTAAGGTGTTTTATAACCAGTAGAGTTGTGAGTTAATTCCCAGGATTGTTTCTGGAAAGAGTTTTGTATCTTTCTGTTTGGAATTAGGGCTGAAGATCAGAGCCCTTGTGAGAAATATCTCCAGACTGTCAGCTCCATTTCTGGATTTTTAGACTGTGTATGGAAGCTTGTGCTGCTCACTTACATCTACCTGCACAGCTACTGACAGCTACTCCTGTCTCACAGACAGTCTACTATATTGTAAGCCATGTGCGTAGGACCTGAGGATGCTGAGAAGTACGCTTTAGGGGTGTTCACTGTGATAGTTAAAGAGCAGTGTTAGAAAGAACTGATCCTTATCAAACTAAACTCAGCAGCTGTTCTCAACTCATAGGGGTTTGAAGTCTGCTGCTGCTTTAACAGACCTGAAAAGGGTTCTGAGCAAAAAAATTTATCTAGTTTTTCAAACTGCTCCGGTTCTTCTAACTTCAGGGTTACAGCATGTGTTATTCTGACTATAGATTACCATACTCGTCTCAATGTTGTCTTTTTTTAATTGTTGTGCAGAGACCGGTATCTCCTTTCAACTTGCTGACTGTAAAAATACTAAGAGTGAGGAACGTACGGAAGGCAGACTTACGTGAGTACTTATGCAATTGTCAAATACTTCTTACAGTTTCTTAAAGTAAATATTTGGTCATCATTATGGTCTTTAAATTGTGTGCCAATACTGTAAATAAATGTAAAATAAATGTAAATAAAATAAATCAAAGATGCATAGTCCATAATATTTTCTCCAAAATCTTGCTGAGCATAGCTAAAAATTCGTTGTCTTTTGGTACACTCAGTGTCATGCAGTGCGTCATAGTTTCTTAGGAAACCAACTGTAAATTTCAGTTGATGTAATATACATATATTTTGAGATGTTATGTGGTGTGCTGGGTCAAGAGTAGGGGGAAAAGTTGTTGGAAGTTGGATTTGGTGGTTGCTGATAGGACTAATGTTGTTGGAAGTTGTGCAACAATTATTTTTGAATGAGTGATTACTATCAGAACAAATCTGTTTCACTCACCTGTGGTATTCTTTGTTACTTAACCCCGCGCTTTACACAGTGTCATAATAGTGAACTTATTTATCGGGTACCTCATATTTTCCAGCTATAAAAAATTTGCTACAATTTACTGGATTCTCTATTTACTGCTTATATCTTGATGCTTGTTAATCTAGAAATTAGGGATTATCATTTTTTTTGGTAATTTTTGCCATGTAATTTGAAAATATGATTTGATTCATTAGACACAGAGACTTATAAGATATAGAGTTCTGGATTTCTTAGAGATTAAAGATATATTTTAATTTTTTTTAAAAGATGTGGACTTAGTTGTAGGCTTATAGTTGTATACCCTGCCTCTTTATTTAACAACTACAACAAAAAAACAGATGTTCAAATGCCTAAATGGTGATTTACATCAACCAAGTATGTGATCCGACCAGGCAGTCACTGCAATTGCATCTGCAACCCTGCATGCACAATTGTGTGTGCATTTGTCTACTCCAGGTTCCCTGCTTATGCTCCAGTTCATTGTGGTTGTCCTTCCCAGGAACAAATTACTCACAATTGCTCCTTACCACTGTGAATAGTATTGCCTTTCTTCATGAAGGCTACTAGTTTGTCTGTCACAACATAATGTTTTATTTCCTTGTGTTCAGGTCCCAAGACTGTATACATGTAGTGTCCTTATTCCCTTAAAATGTACTAAATTCCAAACTTGGGTTTGGCTTTCCAGAGATCTGTTTAAGTGTATTTGGCAGAGAGATTTGAAAACTCTCAAGCCAGAGTATTTTCTCATCTGAAAACTTATTTTTTGAGGAAACTCAGATTATTGTAGGGAGAAGTAAGTTTTGTGTCTTTTTGTCTATAGTGGGAAGGATATGGCAAATAGGCTTTACCTGTTCTGAGATTAAAAAAAATTGAGAATGTAAATGTTTTGGTTAGTTTTCATCAAAGCCTCAGTGTTTTCAAGTGCAGGAAAGTATCCCTTTTCTACCTTTTTATTTACAGTTAATGGTAACTGTAGGCTTTTTGTTACAATGCTGAGTTAATATTTTCCTTCTGATTTAGCTTTCCTAATTTTCTGATTAAACTGGGGTGTTTCCCATTTCAGTTTTTTCATATTTTCTTATTGAAGTACTTGTGCTTAATTTATTGAGGAAAATCTTTCTTCCTGGTGTTTGAGTTTGCCATCACTATATATTTTACTAGTGAAAAATAAACATACTTTAAAAATATTTATCCCCTACTATTGTTACAGAGTAAGACAACTTTAATAGATGTAGATGTAGGCCTGGAAATTAGACTGTTTTGGACCTGACACTGATGTATTATAGGATCCTGGGCAAGTTATTCAAGTTTTCTCAAGGAACTTGCTTAATCCTTACATTGCCACTCTGAGGTAACTAATCAGTGTGTGTCAAGCTCTTTGAAAATGGAGGCTCTAGTATTAATCACCAAGAACTATTTCAATCTTCATCTGCCCACACTTGTGCCTCTGATGAAGGTCTTTGGTTTTGCTTTTCTGATCACAACTGGCTAAGGGCACCAACTGGAAATGCTGTCCTTCCCATGGTTGTTACCAAGCTTTTTCTGACTGCTGTAGTATGGATTAACTGCATGATAAGGTCACAGCTTGGGAAAAATACACCTGCTAGAACAACCTAATTCTGTAGCTGTTACTAAAAGATAAAGAGGAAATACATGAAGAAAATTGTACATAATATGATGTAATAACACTGCTACAGGTTTGGGGCATGATGCAGGAATTAACTATGGGTTGAATTATTTGACCTCTTCTGACTCACAAGGTTCCTGTGAGAATCAGATGACTGATTAAACATTGCTAACATAAAATTTGGAGAATATGAAACGCATTACAGGTACGAGACCAAGGCCACTGGAGCCTGTATCAAGATTCTGTAAGTCACTTCGTGGTGATTTTCCCTCCGGGTGTAGGGAATACCTCCAGGTGTACGTCAGAATACGGTACAAGCTAACATCTCTCCTGGTGTTTCCTTTCCCAGACAGGAGTGATGGCAAGATTTTTCCAGTTCGCAGATAGAGTAGTAGAAAGGAGTAGAATAAACAGTAACTTGTGATGAAAGAAGAATTCATGAGAAAGACAAAGCTTCTAAAAATTCTCAGATACATTAATATGAAATTGTCACATTCTGGTTTGTGACAAGGAAATTAAATTTTTCAGTTTTAATGGGGGGAACTCTTTTTGGCCTAAATAAACAAATAAAATTTGTCTTCATTTAAACAAGCAGCTGGGGAGGGCATGCTAGAAGACAAGTCTATTTCCAACCCAGATCAAAGGCTGAGGTGTGTTGCCTGAGCTATAGATTAGCCATCCTAGCTCTGATTTGAGTGTATGTGGGAGAGGGCATATGCTCTTAACTATCCTTGTGTTATGGCAACATTAACCTACGCTCTGCCCCAGTCGTTTGGACAATCATGAGTATTGAGTTATATGCAGTATGGATAGATGTGCCTGTACTACATGTGGAGTGCAGTGCTATTTCAAATAAAAAGTAATATTTTAAAAGAAAAATGAGTTTGACTAAAAGTGAAAAGATAAGAACGAGCGTGACAAATGTGTGAGGATGTTTGTTTTCCAGTGAGTGCTCCATTGTATTATTTATTCATTAGTCTATGTAATTTAGGAAAAAAATCCCCTACTGTGTTATCTCAAACTTCCTAGTGTTAAAGGTACACATTGCAGTAATTCTTTTTCTAGACGCATTGTCATTCTGCTTATCTTTTTGTTATGCAGTCACCCTTTCAGATTGCTATGTGACGCTGTGGTTGCCTACTGCCTCAACTGAGAAAGTTCGCACCAGAACCATCAGAAACAGCAAAAACCCAGTCTGGAATGAAGCTTTCTGCTATAAGATTGACCGACGAGTCAAGGTAATGAAAATAAATGTTTTTCAAAAGTTTTTCACTATTCATTATCTGCAGATAGTAAATAGATGATGCAAAACTACAGTTACATCCTCCTTGGTATTCTGTTCTAGCTATTTGCTGCTTAATCATTCAGTCTTCAGAAACAGTAAGAAGCAACTTCCTCTTCTGAAACTGGAGAGGAAAAAGAAATCCTAGTCTTGAGATTTTCCTGCCTTATGAAGCACTTTGAAAGATGATGTAGAAAAAGGTTATAAAATTCTTAAACTCTTTTTACAGAATGTACTGGAGCTAAAGGTTTGTGATGAAGACACAATCACCAGGGACGATGAACTCTGCACAGTTCTCTTTGACATAGATAAACTCACCGTAGGACGTACTGTTCGAGTGAAGTTTCAGCTGAATCCACTGGTGAGCAATGGAATCAGTGAGAACAAAAGCAAATTCTGTCATTCCACCTAAGCATATCCTCATAGTGTTTTATTACTAAAAAAATTAAAATTAAAATCTACTTGAAATGTATTTTCCCGCTATTATAAACAAGAAATAAAATCCCTGTAGCAATGCTCCATGCTAGTCGATTTGCATAAGAACAAATCTATATGTTCAAATTCTAAGCAGCTAGAAGTAATTGTCCTGTTGCCTTCATCCAGAATATATCAGGCACAGTGTGTTGGTTCTTGGTAGAAGTTCTGAATTCTCATCCAGTTTGAACTGTCATAACAATAACACAGCTTTTTGTGGGAATCCAAATCTGAAAAATTGGTGTTTTAGCAGAATAATCAGATTGTACATCTTCGTGCTTTATATGAGCTCCAGATGTCAAAATAGTAGTTTTAGCAAATGTTTTTTCAGTATCTTGAATATCTTCATTTGGCAACACAATTTCTTTTGCAAAATATTCTTATGTTCAGGGAATTTTCCCAAGTGCTATTATAAATATACATTTTACAAAAGATAAGCAACTAGTGTGAGGGAAGCTATGAAGAAAAGTAATATACCATTCTTCCTTTTTCCCTTCTTTCAGGCACGTGAGGAACTGGAGGTGGAGTTCACATTGCAGAACACGTGAGTAAAGTCCTAAATTCTATATAAACTGTTGTATTCAGTGTAAAAAGTTAGGAAAGCTGGCTCATCTGTGACAGTGCTTCTCAAACCTACATTCTCTGAACACAGTATCTACATATTTTCATTTGAGTCTAGTAAATTGGGATTACAGAATACAGATTTTTAGGTTTTAAATATCTGAAAAAACCATTTTTTTGCCCTGTTTGGCTAGTATTTCTGGGGTGACTAATACCTCCTGGACACCTAATTTCTCATGTCCTCTTTTCCTCATTGGATTACTACATGAAGAAGGACAAGGAGATCTACATTATTCAAGAATCTTTGACCCTTAGAAGAAGAAATGCCAAAACTTAATATCTTGTCTCTTTTGAGGGAAAGTTGCTTTTCAAATCCACAGAGTTTTTTTTAAAAAAAAAAAAAGCTTTCCTGTAACTTGATATATTTAGCTCATCTGGTTACACACAGGGAGATGTGGTAGACTTGATTATCAGTTCCAGCAAGGAGAGGAACTAAATATTCTGCATAAAGATCAAGTTCACTGTGGGAGGCTGAGGACCGAGGAACCAGGAAAACTGGAGGAGCAGCACTAGCTTCACTTGTTCAGCTTGAAAGCTGGCAGTGGAGCTCAGGTGTTTAACTGTTTAGGGAACACGTTTGCTTCAGTGAACTTATACTGTGCGGAAATTTAAGCCTGTTGCACCACCTGAAGAGGGAGTCTGAGGCAGGGTTGTATTTATCTCCATAATATGCTATATGACTGAGGGCAGTTATTTGAAAGGATTTCTGTTATCAGTTTGATCCATGATACTGGACTGAAAGTTTTGTTAAAACTCCCTTAGAGGTGGGAGGTATTGTTGAGACCTTGACCAGGTATTTGGGTCACCTTGGGAGGCTTGTCATAATATCTTGGTGAAGAATTTGAATAGTGTGTTTATTCCTGCTAGAAATTAGGAATTTCTGGAGAAAGAGCAGTTTTTCAGTATTATGAATGCAGAAGTCCCTTTTCACAAGACAAAGGCTATCAGAGATAAAAAACAGTCCTAGATTCTCCTATTACAGCTCATGGAAACTCACCAGTGTGGGTTGGTTGTTGTTTACTGTGTACGTAAACTGTCAGAAGGCCCTGCACCAGGACAAATGGTGCCTATCACAGCTTGGTGTCATGAAATCAATAATGGTAATGGGAAAGGAGCTGCAGTAGATATCCCACATGGTCTATCCAAGATATTTCTAGTTAGAGGATGACTTGTGAAGTTGGTACATAAAGTCATACGTGTACTCTTGTTTATCCTGTTTTTTTTTTTTTTTTTTTTTGATGAGGGACGTCTGAGCAGGTTTTCTGGCTTGGGTATTGTGCAGGGGGGGGTTTGTATATGGGGCGAAAGCTGGAATTCTTGAAGCATGTGAGTGCTGGCTTTGTGTGAAACTATTATTTTGGACCTTGCAGCCAGCTGCATTTTCCCGAAGGCATGTTTTATAGATAAAGTCAGAGATGAACCAATTTCTGCAGTTTGTCAGAGTGAGAATTCTCCTGTTTGGAAGATGATATTTGGGCCTATGCAAGTAAGAAGGACCTTTGGTGGTCCCAAGGAAGAGGTTTTCAAAAAAGGATCAAAATCATGAATCAGTTGCTACAACAAGAACACTTCTGATTCACTTCTTTATTGAGTGTGGTGTCTCAGTGACTAATGTACTAATTTTGACCTGGAAAAGGATTTTTTCCCTCTCAATGTAGAAAAATGTGATGTCAGGAATAATAAAGGAAAGGGATGGTAGACTAAAATTAGAGAACATGGGGTGCATTTACCTTTGTTAGACTTTTTCAGAGCTCTCTAGTTTGAAATACTGAAATAGCTGAGATGGGTTACCAGAAAGCTATGGACCAAACTGACCTCGTCTGTGTTGAACAAGCTCAGCAGGTTTTGGCAAGAGAACAGAGCTCAGTGGCCAAATTAAGATCTTTGGTGGTCCAGAGAGGGATAAAATGAGATACTAACTTTGAAACAAAAGCTGACTTATTCTCCCATTGAGAAGGACACCCATATTGTGAGTTGACACCAGGAAAAGGAACAGCATCCAGGAACAACTGTGGACTTACCCTGTGGAGAGACTGAAGTATGTTTGTCACTGTTTTCCTGATGAGATGCTGTAGTACAGTCAGAAATAACAAATGAGACCTTCTTGCTGAATGGAAACTGAGGAGGCTGGGTTCCCCAAATCAAGGTTTAAATCAAGGTTTAACTGTTGAAACTTGAGGGGAAACTGGTGGCTGGTGAGCCAAAACCAATGGAGGGGACACAACAGAGCTTTGAAAGAAAGTACAGAGGAAAAGATCTCTTCAGAAAGGGATCACTGGCTATTTAGTGATTTGAGAACCAAATAGAAGACTGTGTAAGTGCCTCTTCCCATAATGTTTGCAGACACTTTAAACAGCTATCCCAAAAGCATTGCTGGTCTGAAGTGTTGACAGAGATTACAGATAATTTTCAGATGGGGACGACCAACTATATTGATGTCAGGAAGTATAGCTTACCATGCAGTGCAGTTTCCACAAATCTGATATTGTGATGAGAAAAATGGCAATATGCTTTCATTCTTTTTTTAATATGGCAGTTTATCTTGGAAGTGATTACCATCAGCATATTGTCCAACACTACTTACCTGAAGTAGTTCCTTTCACATCTTAATTCCAGACTACAGGTTACCAATTACAAAAATTGCCATATTAGCCCATTCTTCCTTTCTAGCACTTCAGATAAACAATATCATACATGAAGTGTAACCCCAGGCCAAGAAAGTTTCCTGGGTTGCACCTACAATAATGGCTTTGTCACTCGCTTATTTTAGTTTGCCTATTGACCTCACTGCAAAAATTGTGTTTTGGGTTACTTTTATGAAACACTGTTGTAAAAAGTCCCTCATGATACATCATTGATCATTCTGAAATCGGTTCTGGCGTTCATTCGAGTTATCTTTGGCTTAAAATGTAAGAAAACTTCTACTTTAACTTCGTTTCCACAACTGCGTCATGAATACCTTCTCTAGTTTTGCCTGACTTGCGTCACTGCCTGCAGTACCTGCAAATGCACCCCTCTTTGCTGCCACTACCTGTGGCAGGCACTGAGCCAGACGTTTGATCCTAACAACACAGAGGAAGGTATGCTCCTTCCTCCAAGTGCCTTTTCACCAGCAACCAAGCCAAGGGATTGCAAACACCCGTTTTATGGGCCCATAGCACGAGCCCAGCTGGCGTGAGAGCTGCTGCTCTTGAGCAGCAGTGACAGAAAAGGTAAGGTCATTGTACACAGGTTGCAGATTTGCATATCTTAGTGCTTCTTGTGTTAGTTTGTGGTGATTATTAATGGTAACATGGGCTTTCTCCCTTGTGTTTCAACTGCTAGGGTCCAGCAACAACACGAGCCTTTACGAATTGCTACGGGGACAGGATCCCGCTGGACTAGGTGGCTTCGCTCCCTCAACATCCCTCTCCCCTCTGACTTTTACTGAAGACTTAGGCCTGGTATTAAGTGGCCACAAAGACTTCTGATGAACTAAAAGGTACTTTGAATTTCCAAGGAGAGGTCTGAGGGGTGCAGGGTATTTCTGGGTCTGATGATTTTCTTTTTGGCCTATTTCTATCTTCCAGAAACCCTGAGTTGAGGAGGCGCATCTCTAACAGTTCTTAGAAGAATGAAGGACTACTCTTATACAACCTTTCCCATCAGCTCTTCCCTTCTGTTATTTTTTTCCGAATGTGAAAGTATTTAAAACAAAGCCCACCTAACAAAAATAAATGTAAATAGATGTACAAAAAGTTGTATAGAACTTGAATGTTAATTATTGAAATATGGCAAACACATGATTTTTAGAAAATAAAAACCTCTTTTTCTTTCTGTAGTTTGGCTGTGTTGCTTTTGAGAAATTTCCCCCCCCTCTGCATGTGGGGAACAGCAGCTCATGCCAGCAGTCTGGTTTGGGCACTGCTGACAAAACTCTGCGTGGGCTGAGTCTCAATCCACCAAGGGTTAAGTGTGCTGTTCATATTTGTATTTGTGGCAGGAAGTCACAAGTCCTCAAGGAGTACTTAAAGCAGAAGTTTTAAGTCAAGGAATGCGTCCACCAAAGAATTTTTGAGGCTAATAGAGTTTTCTTTATTGAAATCATACCACCCTCCATCTGTCAGGTCATCAGAAAAGTAGACAGCAGTGTGTGGAAAGCACTAAAAGAATGGGAAGCTGTATCCATGAAAGAACTAAAATATTGTTCATAGGTATCCAAAAATCCAGATTCTCAGGTGAAACAGTATGGTTTTCTACTCTAAATTGGAGCTGTAATCTCAGAACTCATGTGGCTGTAACTTCCTGACAATGTTGACTGTTTCATTATGAACCAGGTATGACTGAAGGAGGATAAGAGGATGTGATCTGGAGCAGGTGTTGCAGATGCCTGGGATGTGAAATGATTCCCTGGGTCACAAAGTCCACCACAGTCTTAGGCACCTGTTCAACAGATATGCAGTGGGGGAGGCATCCAGGTGTCTGTTCCTGGCTTCCCCTGCTGCAGGCCACAGTGTGCTCCCAGTTCTCTTAATAGAACTGAGATCTGCATTATAAAGACCACAAATCACAAGCTGTGATAGAGCAGAGAGCAGAAGTGTTAGTATGTGTAATGAGGGCTGTGTGATAGCAGACTGTTAGGGAAACTATCAGATAGTAAGTGTCCTGTGCTTTGAATAGCAGAAGCCTTCAAACTCAAGGTCTAAAAGCTGAAGGCATAATGTGGAGTAACCAACAGATGACAGCAGCTGGGCTTTACAGCTGTGTCCACACAACTGACCTCCTTCTTCCCCCCGGAGGGACATCTTGTCTGTCAGCACTTAAAGCCTGTGCTATCCTTGCTCTTCTTAGGAGTCTCCTGAGCTGTTCTGTGCAACAGTACGTGTTCTTCCCCACCCTGCTTGAAGGGTGGAAGAAGCTTTGGACCTCCTAATTATCAGTCTAACTTTACGCTTTGCTGATACCAGTAACTGAAATAATACTACGCTCTACTGGGTGCTTATCTCCATAGAGGGATATCTTTTGCTATCTTTCCACCTTCATTTTACCAGGATATGCAGGCTGAAATCTGCTAAACTCTTTCTCTGCTTTCCTTAAATTACTTAATGAAGTATTTTAGGATAGTGACACTGTATGACAGGTAATGTTAAAACTGTTTGACTACAAAATAAGTACAGAAGTTTGGGTCTGAGAGAAATCTTGAATGGTAACTAAATCAATTTCCCTACAAACAGGTAGAAACACCTGTGTGAATTCTCTGTCTGATGTTCTTTGAACTCTTAAAATACACTTTCAGTATGGGATGATCCTACAAAATTCTTAAGTAATGTTTTCCAGAGCTTAACTGTTGTTTCTTTCCACTGTAGTTTTTCTTGAGTGGTGTTTGCTGCGTTTAGGTATTTTTTTGTCATGTGTTTGTGCTGGTATCTAATAGTTTATGAAAATAATCCAACAAATTTTTTAATTAAGTTATGAATCTGATTTTAAAGGAAACTTATTGAATAGTTTTTGCTGAGATTCAATACAAATCTTAACTATGTAACTGTGAGAATACAGGATGTATAATAAGTCTGAATAAATGACTCATGCTGTCTATGTCAGATTGAGGAGCTGCTGCTAAATCCATACAATTTTCTGTTTGCATATTCCCTTAGGACTAATATAAGTTATGAGATATGACAATTTAATAAGATATTAAATTATAAGATAATCTTTAATGAGGAACTGCCTATGTGGTGTGTGCTTTGTTTTATTCTTTGAGGGAAAGATATTTATAAAAATTGGTTTCTGCAGTATATCAACCTACTTCTGCCCTTAAATGGGTAAGTGGAAACACATCTCACATCGTGATATGTTAAAATTTCATGTCTATATTGCAAATCTTTCTATAGAAGTGAATAAAATGTCTCCCACCTTAATGTTTCTGTGGAAATCTGGACAAATGCTTTTTTTAGTATAAAAACTTGGGACAAACTGTATAATGCTTGAAACAATCAGGATAGATGCAACAGTCTCCAGTTCTTCTCAATCTTTATGTTCTGTATTAGTATTCATTACATGTTTTTCTAAAGCAATGATGAAAAAGCACAGCAGTACAAGTTCAACTTCGTATTCTATTGTGAGAGAAGGATGGGGTAGTCTGGTAGAATCTTGTTTGTTAACAGCTTTAAAGAATTTGTAAATGAGAATGAACGTTAAATGTCAAAGTTGATGTGGGATGGGGTGGGTGAGTGAAATGACCTGTGTATTAACTGATAGAATCAAATATTTATCCAAGTTGTTCCATGGATAACATTGCATTCTCCACTTTATTTTTCAGTTGGGACTATCCTGATGGCATCATTACTAATGGAGTACTAGTGGTAATGTTTATTTCTTACAGTCTTCCCTATGACTTCATAATACTTTTAACTTTGGAAACTGAGTTATGCCCCAAAGCCAGTACTGTCAGCCATGTTGTCCTACTGAGAATAAAGGTCTGTAGTTGGTACTAATGAGTAATTTTGTACCCATTGTTTATACAGTATGCCCAGAACTAACAATGGTTAATGAAGAAAGTGATAAAACACTCATAAAAAGAGACCAGTATCTCATTACACCTGTTATTTTGAATAGGTCTCATCTTTATCACTTCATTGGCTCTCCAGGTTCAAGCAGTTCATGAATTGTTCCTCTTTACTTTCCAACCTAGAAAAAATACTATGTCAGTATTATCCTTTCGTCATCTGAGCAGATAATAATAGATAATAATTATGTTGCCCATTGATCCACTAGAGGGGTTGGTGAAGGACTGTATGAATAACTTGCAAAGATATTTACACATCTCTTAATCATCGTTTATCCTCTCTTATTGCAGGCACGTGAGGTTTCCTGTTTGGAGGTTAGAGTGGATACAGCCAAGCTGAAGCAGCAATCCACAAGTGAGGTTATTGCTTCATTAACCTATTGTTTTTGTGTTGTGATTCAGTTGTCATAACAGATGTTGAAAAACTAATAATCTGTTGTGCATGCAACACTAGCTGTGTCACGGAACACTTAGCTTTGCCACGCTCAGAAAGATTGTATCTGCTAAATTCAAGTTATTCAAGTATTTGGTTCCCTAGCAGATCTTAAATTGATGCAAAACTAGTGCCACATATACCAGAATTAATTTTTTTGAGGGGGGAGAGTGGAGGGGAGAAGGTGCATTCTCTTTAGTTATCGTCAGTTCAAAATTAGAATTGTTAACTAAGTTGAATCCTTAAATTATCTTATAATCAAGTTAATATAGGGAAGGCTTATCCTGTATGTTTAATTTGGGGTTGAGTATGCAAACCACTACCAAAACAGGACTTTGTCTGTAAAATATAGCCCTTATAAATATAACAAAACTCCTCAATAGTCTTTAAGTTCATTCAGTTAAAACAAACCGCTCATGTAATGGTGCTCATGGGGCAGATCTCAAGAAATCAGTTGTTTCTAGTTAGTTCACAAGTGGAAAATTGACCTTTATGAAAAAAATTGTAGCAATGGCTGAGTTGTATGGTAAGAAGATTCAGTCTGAAATGTAGCATGAGGAGGAAAGGCTAGTTGCTTAAAATTATGCAATGATCTTGCAAGGGAACAGTATTCCGTGTCTCTGTGAATGCCGACACTTTTCTGTGAAGAAACAGACTTTGTGTTGGCAGGCATTTTCAGTTTTGGTGACACAATTATCGTGGAAGAGTAATGGCAGAGGGCATGTGTCAAGTATTTCTGTATGGCTTTGAGTCTGAAACGCCTGCCTAGGAAATATGACACATATATACAAGGTGAAATATAGGAAAGGAAATATATACAAGGTGAACCAGAACAGACTGACACCAAATAAATGATTTTTTTTATTGTGTGAATTATCCAAAGCTTCTTTAAACTGACACACCTTTAAATCTAAATTTTGGTTTTATGTATTTACGAAGAGCATAATGACACACTACAGGACTTCAAAAGTGTGTAATTTCTGTGTATTTATGATTTATACAGATCTACCCAGTGTTTTTTATTATTTTGATCTCTTTTGGCCACACATAGTTTACTTAACCATTGGGGTATAAGAAAGGTCAGACAAAAAGCATACGTGTTAACTGATAAATAAAATATGCCTTTATGTGTGTTTGCTTGGAGTAGTTAAAAAATAGTTAAAATTCTTTGTTCCCTGCCTTTTTGTTTAGATCAGGAGCTTATGTTTACAGTGAAAGGATCCCATGAAGGAAGCCAGAAGATTTCACTGGGCTCTGACCCTGGTCTTCAGAACATCGTATTTCACTGCGTCATAAATGATCAGACAAGACTGGATATCACATTACCAGAAGAGGTATATTCCCCTTCTGTATGTTAGCATTAACCATAGTGAAATTAGCAGAAGAACTGAGTGTCAACAGTGAAGTCAACTAGCCCTCTTAAGAGGAGAAGTACTAGACAGGATAAACCTTTCACATGTATCCCCACTGTTTTTTGCGTTGTTTCAGCTGGCAGATAAAAATGAAACACAGAGATATGGGGTCCTTTCTTTCCCTCTGAATTCACTCCCTTTGCAGAAGGAAATAATAGTAGAAGAGGTGAGTTCTGTGAACCTTTTGAAATAAATATTTTCAAATTGTGCTTAATTATATCCTGCTAGAGATAAGGTTACTAACTGAGCAAAGTCATTGTGTAAAATTATATGGATACTTATCCAAAAATTTTTTTAAATAAGACCATCCTATTCTCTTTTAAAGGAAGCAGGTGGTAGCAATCACTGTAATAACAGTTAAATCTTTGCAAAGCCACACACCAAAATTAGAATTAGGTGGTTTCAAGGAACAAAAGTGATGGTCATATGCACATGTATTCCAAAATTTCTTTATGCTTATTGGGAGTAATTCCACAATAACTATTAAGCTCATATTCTGGATTGATTTTTTTAAATTCAGATGTTGCCTAAATATTGATGTTCAGAGTGGTGTGTGTGTATATATATATATTTAGTGAGAACTTTTCTGGTTCTTGTGTTTCTTCTAAGTATGAATGCTATGAATTAGCGTAACATGCAAGTTCATTACTCCAAGCAAGCTTATTAGATAAGAGTGAGTTTGGTTCCAGAACAATATGAATCCTAGTCACATGAACTATTTTTTGAGAATCTCTTTTCTTACTGAATGAGCCTTGTCTGAGCTTAAAGGAAAGAAACATTTTAAAATTTGGTGGTAGTTAACTTTATTTTCTTGATTTCTAGGATCAGTCCTTTGAGGTGTGCTTGACAGCAAGAAAATGGTAAGATAGCCTCTTCTTGTCCTAGTGTGCAGGATTACTGTAAACTATTTTTTTCTCTAGTCAGTGGAGAGAGGAAAACACCATGTGAGTGCTTTCTCCTGTACTCAGGTGGTGCCTGAGGTAAGTGCAAATCCATTGTAGTTTCAGGATCGTGCAAGTCAATGTGAGTTTGACTCTTTTTTTTTCTTTTCAGAGTAAGTTATCTCATTTTATGACTACCACTCTTAGACATGAATAAAATTACACTTTTTGGATATTATTTTTGTTACCACTTTATGCAAATCTGTCTATTGGCACAACGAGTGAAATAAACTCTATCCCTCTTTGACTTTGCAAGCTCACCAAAACAAAACAAAAAAATCCAACTCCTAAGCAATCAAACTGAAGGGTGGTCTGGCTTCTGCTCCTTCTGTTTCTGAGCAAAATGTGATCTTGGACCTGACCAGCTGCACCTCTGCACTTTACAGGAACAGAATGGCAGTAGTGATGGGTAAAATTGAAAAGAATGAGGCTTTATGGTACAGCTGAAGACCCTATATGGTTAACAGCATCCTCACTATTGTGTAACATACATAGAGGAAGCAACTCTGATGTTCAGAGCATGGGAGGAGTCTGTGTAGATAAAATTCAGAGCATAGGACAGAGATCTATTTTATCAATCTCAGCCCATAACAGATCTACTGAAATGTCAATTTTACAGATTATAGAGAGAGCAACTGCACAAAAGAAAGTGCTACTGTTTTTACATCTACACTAAAAAAGTTGCTTGCTTTCTAGGTCAATCAAATCACCTTATTCTGTTCTCAAAATTAAGCTATCATGTACAAATTCTTCTGGAGAACAGAAGATACTGACATTAACCCTTGAAACATTTGTGTTCATGGAATACTAATGAAAGTAATGCTCAAAATAATATTTTGCAGCCACTAGAGGGGGATGTGATACACAAGATTTGAGCAATATTGAGTGCCCCTTTCTGTAATAAGCATATTTGCCTTTTTGAAAAGCACAAAAAACTTAATTGCCATTTGTTTGGTTTTGTACTTTTTTTCTGCAAAACCTTTGGCTTGTATTTCACACTTCTCAGGGAAGAGAATGCAGTGTGGCTGCCTGTGCAGAAAAAAAATGATGGATATTCTTATGTATTTGTTGTATGAGGCTTACCTAGAAATCTACTCAGCACGCAGGTGAAAGGCGTTACAAATCAGTGGAGCTGCAAGTGAGCATATGGATAAGTGCAGGTGAAGCAACCACCCCAAACCAACAAAGGCAGAACACTGTGCAGAACTTATGCTCTCCCCAAGGGTCATGTGCACTGCCTAGGATTACTCATCTATTTATCCAACATAAGCAAAGACAGGCAATGCTGCAAAGCTTCCAGTTCTAGCTGGCTCTCATGAGATAGTCTAAGCAGCAGGGTGATGGTGTAGGACTTGTCCTGTGTTTTCAAGCTCTATCAAACTCATTGTTAAGAGCTTCACTTTCAGATAATGTTAGTGAGCAGTCAAAACCTGAGAACAGGTGATGTTGGCATCAGTTGAGTTTTCCAGGATGTTGTGGTGACAGAAAGTAATGGATACAGGAAAAATCTCACCTATTTTGTCACTCTTTCTCTAGCTTGTGTGACTTACCTTTTGTGCTCTCATCTACAAGAAATCTAAGGTGCCTTGGACACTCCTTTTACCTTCACTACTTTTTGCTGCCAATAGAGATGCTCCTTTTCTTCTATTTTTTTGATCAATATGTAGACTTAAAAACAGCTTGTTTTTGGAGTTCACTGACTGACTGCCCTTACAGGTCCTGAAATTGGCTATAACTGATGTGCATTGATTAGTCCTGTTGTCTGTTCCAGCTCAGGAGACCTGGATGTGCGCTTGGGATTTAGTCTGTGCATGGAGGAACAGGACTTCCTGCGGAAAAGGAAGAAATATGTTGCTGCTGCTCTGAAAAAGATTCTTAATTTGGAGGAAGATCTGAAAGAGCATGAGGCAAGCCATACGGTCCCTGGTAGTGATTCTTCTCCAGGGATTGGGGCCTGGCTCACAAACTGAAATGTGAAAAACTAAAATAGCTTAATTAATCCTGCTGTTCTAGGGCAGGCCCAGCCACCTAGAATAAGAGATTTGCAAGAGAAGCCAGTATTCTGGTCTGTGTGGAGATGGCATGATGTGCCTTTACAGAACCAGTTTAACCCATTCCTGTTTATTCCTGGTATTGCTCAGGAAGAAAATTTGTGGTGAGCAGATACAGAACAGCTGGGGGGTGTTTGGGGAATAGCTTGCTCTATCTCAGTAGGAGAGGCAAGGCAATATTCATGGCATTCATAAGAGGATTCTGAGATGAGGAAGCTAAATTTTTGCGCAGAAACTATAGTTAAAAATACTTCATTTTTTTCTGCAGCAGAAAAGATACATTGTTGGGAAAACAACTATCAGAATAAATCTGTCAAGCTGGAAAAAAGAGGGTGAATCTTGTAGCATAGTTGAGCTGTACAGATTACATTGTCGATTAGAAGTTGTTTAGCTTTATCACTGTAGGTCCTGCTCCTGTTTCCATATTTATGTATAACATTTTTAACTGCTTAAGCCTGGTTGGACTGTAGAAAATCAAGAAAGTACAAACACACCAGCTGCAAGAATCTTCGTTAGTTGACAGTTAAAAGGGAATGCTTTTACGTAGTGGTCTGAGTTACCTGAGACATGGTAAGGCCAAAATGGTAAGACCAAAGTTTGTTTTTGAAAAAAGTCTAGTTTTTCTGGCACTGCTACTCATGTATTTAATCTTAAAATTTTGAAAATATCCCAACTCCCTTGTTTACCAACTTAAAAAAAAAAAAATCAGTTCAAAGGTATTAGAATTTTAATTTGTGCTGAAAAAGTAAAACCAGAACATATATTCTGATTTCAATGAAGATTTTTCCTCATTATTATTGTATAATTTCCTATATTTTAAGTTCTTACTAAGTTCAGGGTTAGAACACCATCTATTTTTGTTTCTTCTAGTTTTGTAAAAAGGGAGAAATATTTTCTTCGAGTTCTATTAATTGTCTTTAGAATAATTGATCACCTGATGAAATTAGAAGTTAGTACTTTAAAGGTAAAAATAGACATTTCCCATACAACATGTAAGCATCCACACAACTCAAGATGTTAATGGAAGCAAATGGTGTACTAGATTAGGAAAAGATTAAGAGAAGAATAGTCTCTTCAATTGCACTTGGAATTTAGGAAGGAAAAAAAAAGCCCTGTCGATGACTGTGCCTCAGGACATAAAGTAATTTCTGGCCTGAGGTCAGGAAGGCTTCAGCTATTGTGTGGTTTGGCTGATTACAGGGTGCTGTGCATTCTTCTGAGACACTGATCATTGTTAGAGGCAGAATCACAAATCCCTAATCTGCCCTGCCATGGTAAATCCTGTTTTTTTTTTGTTTTTTTTTTTTTTTATGCCGGCTTCTAATAATACACCTTGAGAAGAATTCCAGGGCGATGAGGTTGATTTCCAATTATGTATTAAGTAAACAGCCTCCTCCGACCCAATGTGAGTGGGTAAGACATGAGCCTTACCTCTCCAATCAATCAGATGGTGACGATGGAAGCCTTTTGCATCACACCCTTTTTACACAAAGTAATGCCATTGCTTGTTATCAGTGCCTGTAACCTATTATCTGATTTCTGCAGTAAGAGGTTTGTCTCTATTATGTGCATGGCTTTTTCTATCATTTTCCCTTGCTGTGTTGAACAGGTGCCAGTGGTGGCCATCACGACTACTGGGGGAGGGACAAGATCACTGACAGCAATGTATGGCAGCCTACTGGGACTCCAGAAACTCAATCTGTTAGACTGTATTTCCTACATCGGTGGTTTATCGGGTACCACATGGTAAGAATGACCCAAACAAGACATGTTTGTTCTCTGTGCTTGATATTATTGATTATTTGTACAGCACCATCAACTTATGATGCATTTAGTAAAGCAGAAGATTTCAATTTTCCTGTTTCCACCTAGAACCAAGAAACAAACATACCCAATAAGCAATTAATCATCACATTCATCAGCTGCTTTTTTCACCACATTGACACAGTCTGTGCCTGATATTTAATGTAAATGCTGTATTACCTTTTCATATTTTATCAATTATACCTTAGACTGAATGCAGTGAATTTGTCTTTATACGGGAAATTGAAGAAAGATGGGAAGAAGAATTTATGCCTGCCATTTGCTGGTTAATCTCACTTCCATTTTGGATTTAGAGTGCATCTCCCTCTGGTAAAGGACATTTTTGGGTCCAGTGGAATTAATGTTGTTGAAGATGATCCAGAAAATGACTCTGAGCTACCAGCCTCAGACTGCAGTTGTTGTTGTTCATTATGAAGTGCTCTCTTCTCCCAGTGGGTATACAGCAGACAATGTCACATTTAAAATAACTTAAAAGTAGTTAACCATGTGGGTTCTAGCTAGATCCACTCCTCTACACTCATCTGAAAGTGGAGACAATTTTTGCATTGCATTTTGTCAGTCCTTTATACATGTCCAAAACTTAATGGCAGGCTTGTCTAAGTATTCTTTCAGCTTCGCTGTATGCATGTGGAGATCTGAGTGTACCTGTCTGTGATTTTGAGGAGACAGATAAGACTGGTCATACCAGGACCTGAGAACTGCCCAGTCCTCTCACAGACAGGAGTCAGCAGCAGATACCTGGGAAAAAATATTAGACTAGAGCAAACTTGTAATGGCTGTTTGCTAAAGTGTTTCCCACCTTCCAAAAAAAAAGGATTTTCTGAGGACTTGTGGAGTCAGTGTATTTAATAGCCTTGGGCAGTTTTTTTAGTTCCTTGAATTTCTCAGATTATTCTTGAGCCCGCAAAGTCTTACCATCAAAGCAAAGAAAGCTTGGGAGAGGTTTTGAAATCCTCTTATTTCAAGGGCAAACAAGTGTGTTTAGTTTTCAGTTGTGAATCCCCATATGAATTGAAACAGGCAAATAGCTTGCAAAAATGTACTCTAAAGCCAAACAACACAGTTCTCTTTCATTGTTCCCTTCTAATGTTTATTCAGGACAATGGCAAACCTGTATGAAGATGCTAATTGGTCACAAAAGTATCTGGAAGAGGCGATCAAGGAAGCTCGCAAGCAAGTAACCAAAAACAAGATCTGCTGTTTTAGTCTGGACTGTCTGAAGTACTATTATAATGACTTGATGGAGAGGACTAAGGAGGGACATAACACATCTTTTATAGACCTGTGGGGGCTTGTCATTGAATCCATGCTACATGATAAGGTATTGCTCCTTTTTTTTTCCCAGAAGCCTGATGAACATCTGTAACTGTAAAGGAGAAAAAATAATTCCTGGGAAACTGTTAAATACTACTAATGCAAATAATTAACTTAATGTTTGATTAAATGCTGTATATTGAGGTTCATTATTAAAACACTACTCTCATTTTAAAGTGAGATTGACCTTGATGGAGCCATGGCATTTCAAAAGTGTTCTCTTCTTGAAAAAGAAAAAAACAGAAACACAAACAACCTTATGAAAAATGTATTTGGAAATGTACCCTAATCACTTTGAACATTAAATATTACAAAACATGACTAGAAGGGGTGCTTAAAAATTAGAAATGATTTACTTCACTCACATAATTGAACATATGCTTTTACAAAGTGCCTTAGTTACAGGCTTTATATAGGGGGATTATTCAAATAGTAGGAAAAGCCATTCTCTAAATTTGTTATCAAGGCTTAAGAAAGATTGATAGAAATATCATTACATTTAAAATAGCATAACTTAATAGTTTACTTCTGGTTTATGCTTATCCAAGGAAGTTTTACGTTGTCATGTGTGATTACAATATATTCTTGCATATGAATATGCTTGAGAATGATATTAAAACCTGATAAAATCTGCTACCTGAAATCCAGCCAAAGAAAGTACCTCACCTTTCACTTAGCCACGTATTTATTCCCGGGAACTGTTTTTTTCCTTGCCAAATCTACTCACAACCTCTCTTCATATCTCAAAATCTGAGAACCCATATAGGGGCTGCTGTTTGCAGGATACTTGCCAAGTTTGGAATATTCCAAGGCAGATACTCTTCTGAACAGTATAGTGAGATGAAATCAGGAAGGAGAGTCTGGATAAAACTAATAGTTGATGTTATATAATTTCAAGTACAAGTTGTTTGTCACCTCATTCCATTAACCAGTTTTAATTAAAACCAGAAAGACGAACATAGACTCTCCGATCAGCGGCAGGCAGTGGATAATGGTCAGAACCCATTGCCCATCTACGTGGCCATCAACCTCAAGTCCAACTATAGTGCTCAGGCATTCAGAGGTAATGATAATAAAGTTTTCTCATACTTTTGTAATTTAAGTAATCTGAACTAAGACTAATTGGATGTAATCAGCTTCAATAATACAATAGTCCTTTCGTTCTAATCACAAAAAGATCATTTCTAAATGTTGCTAGGAGCAAAAATATATTTATACCAGAGGAGATGCTAAACTCACAATTTATCCTGGTCACAGGAACATTTTAATTTAACTTACAATGTTTACACCTACTCCTATTTGGAATAGTTATAGAGAGAACTCTGAGTTTTTAGGTCTAGTGGCACAAAAATCACTGTTTCCTCTGCTATTGATTTTCACGATATTTGTTTAATATGAACAGCTGAGTACATGATGCCAGATGAATGTTAGGTTTTCTGCTGCTGTTGCCCTAAAGGAACCACTCTATGCCTGAGCAATACGCACTTTTGGGCAATATTAACTGCAGAGAATGCTTACAGTTTCATTTAGACCAAGGTTTGTCTGCTGGAGACTGCTGTGTCAAAAGACTTCACAGCCTAGGACTACCTTCCCTTGATGTGAAAGGATCATGTGTTCTCTCAGCATGCTGTGAGCAATATAGGTACAGCACTAGCTGGTGAACAGCATGTTATGAGCTGGACAGTATCTTTTCAATTTGTACACTGGAACAGGCTGCCCAGGGAGGTGGTGGAGTCACCATCCCTGAAAGTCTTCAAAAGATGTTTAGATGTAGAGCTTAGGGATATGGTTTAGTGGGGACTGTTAGTGTTAGGTTAGAGGTTGGACTCGATGATCTTGAGGTCTCTTCCAACCTAGAAATTCTGTGATTCTGTGATTCATTGTCACTATTCTGTTTAGCAGTAGTTAACACTTCATTGCCTTTTCACAATCTGGCTGTTGTCTCCATTAGAGTGGTTGGAGTTCACTCCTTATGAAGTCAGTCTCCTGAAATACGGAGCGTCTATTCCTGCAGAACATTTTGGAAGTGAGTTCTTTATGGGAAGGCTAGTGAAGAGGCTTCCAGAGACTCGGATCTGCTACATGCAAGGTGACTATTGCATAGAGGGAAAATTGGTCTACTCAAAAGAGAGCTGGTGCTAGTGAGCACATGGTTTGTGGAGGACAGCCCTGTGAAGACACCAGCAAACAGGTTGAGCAGGTGTGAGATTGCTTTAGTGAGGAGGTACTTAGCAAGTGTGCCCATGAAGATATCTATCCAGACAGAAAGGAAGTATCCAATGACTGAAGGTATGTATCAATTAAAATTCTTCCAAAACTACTCCATCAATCAGTTTATATTCTCTCTTTCACACTACAGGCATGTGGAGTAGTATATTTTCCATAGATGTGATGTATGTCTGGAATTTGGCTGCTGATTCAGAGGACTTCTGGTGTAGGTGGACCAGAGACAGAGTAAAAGATATCGGTGAGATATTTATTTATTTTTAGCACTAGAGTGACTGGCCCCCTAAGTTAGCCAATGTTTACAGCTGAGTGACAGTCACATGTTTTCTGGAGGTTTCCTGTTCAAAGGCCAGTACTGTTTACCTGTGTTTTAGCACTTGGATCTTCTCTGCACCTCACACTGCTGCAGAGGTGTGCATCATTTGATGAAGCCTAGAGTGTGAGGTTGAGTTTGCCTTGATCTTGCTGCTTGCAGGTATCTGTCATTTAATTCAGAGCATAATTCTGAGTTTGATTTGGGCTCAGTTATAAGTTTCAGGGCTAATAGCTACATTTGTTTTACCTTCAGGTGACAACTGTGTTTATTAGTTATTCAGTTTTTAAAAATATTGTTTCAGGAAAGTGTCCTAAACTCAGAACTGCTTCCTTTCTTGCAGAGGAAGAACCCTTTCTGTCCATGAATCCTTACGAGATTGACACATGTCTACTCACTCCCTCATCCACTCTCTCCTCTGCTCTGAGAGATGTCTTAACAGGACGCCCAACAATTGCACAGTACCCCAATTTTATCAGAGGCTTCCAGATGCACAGCAAGTACCTGGAGAGTGATGGATTCTCTACTTGGAAAGGCACAGTAACATAGCGCATCCTTCAGTAACAATTTGGGCAGGTTTAGGCTTGGGAATTCATTTACGATTTCTGATGTGGAGACAGGAAAAAATGTGACTGACTTCCTGAAACTGCACTTCTCCCTTCCTTAGATGGAAGAAATGGGAACCAGATTTCAAATGCATTTCATTTTTGTGTTTGTTTGTTTTGGGGGTAAATTTGAGCTTGGTTGTCTGGGGATTGTGTTCCAGTGGACAATGCAAGCTCAACCTGAGGAGACGGGAATAACCTATTCTTTAGGGCCAAAGCTGTATGAGGTGTCCAGGAAGGAAGAAACTGTATTGTGCCATTCATTCCTGTAAATCAGTGCTGTTTGTGAGTCATCGAAGGAAGGCAAGGAAAACGGGGTTCCATTCTTCCATCTTTAACTTTCTATGAGGAGCAGTCAATCTTGTTTTTCGCTTACTGACAATAAATATTTGTATTTCAGACACAGTGATAGACTCCTTCCCAAATAAGCTGATGGAAACAGCAGATGATGAGCTCTCCCTGGTTGATACGGGATTTTTCATCAATACCAGCTACCCACCACTTTTGAGATCAAAAAGGGAGGTGGATGTCATCCTGCATTTAAATTACAGTGGAGGGTCCCAGACGCTGGTAAGAAAAGTCATGGCATCTGGGATCCTTTTCTGTCATCATTTTTTTTTCTTCTATCAGTCTTAGGGAAAGGGACTGGCTGAAACTGGACTTGATTAATAATGAGAAGTAATATAATTACTGTTGCGTTCTTAGGGAGGTTAATATGAAAATAAACATAGGCTTATAGTTAATATAGCTGTTAAAACAAATTGTTGTTTGTTTTTTTTTTAATGATATCATAAGGTATGTTGATAATTGTTAATAGGAAGTCATTAGCAAACAATCACAAACCATGCAGAGGACAGAAAGACTGGGAAAGTTGTAAACAATTAAGAAGTCGAAGTGATGCAGAATATCTGGACTGATTGGTTCCTTCTCTGTTCTTCCGGTTTCTTTGCCTTTCCCTTCTGAACCCATTTATAGAACATGTTTAATTGGAACTGTAAAATCAGTCCTCTGGCTTTTGGCTGTATTTGCAAGTTTATATAAAGTGACTGTTTTCTTGTTTTGCCTGAAGCAATGCAGGAAATAAGATAAACTGTAATGTATGCTGTGGTTACAGCCATTTCTCTCTGAAAATTAACATCTTCCCAGGGGAAAATCCAAGCCTTGGAATATTAATATTAGCTGCTGAAGTTGTTTTACTTTTTATTTTAAAAAAGCCCCCAAAAAAACTCTAGGTCTCTTTTGATATTTGATTCTTCTTATTTTATTTATTTATCCAGCCTCTGGACCAGATTGCAAAATACATATCGGGGCAAGGAATTCCATTTCCCAAAATTGAAATAAGCGAGGAAGACAGGGAAAACTTGAAGGAATGCTATGTGTTTGAAGATTCTGACAGTCCACATGCTCCAACGGTGCTGTTTTTTCCCCTAGTAAATGACACCTTCAAGAATTACAAAGCTCCTGGTGAGTCATCTGTGGCAAGCAATTTTAATAAAAAGTCAATTTCCTGGTGTGTCCTCTCCATTTCATATCTAATATCTCACTACCAATTCTGACCTTCTTTCTAACTTTCTAATGTTGATATTGTCAGTCTCATCACTGACAAAAATAAATACTGTCTCATTACATCTGAACTGTAGGAACTACAGAAGCTCTCCTAATACATCTAAGATTAAAACCGGTGTTTATTCCACAGGATTTTTTAAATATAGCATGAAGGTGAAACTCCCAAAATACACACAGCATAGGTAGCAGGTTCTCTACTCTATTGACATACACTTGTTATGCACCACTCTCTGCAAAAAGAAGCAGAACCTTCTGGAAGATTTCAGGGATACTTCATCACTTCAGAACTGAGTGCACTGAGATCTTTTGTTTTTGTTGTTTTTTATATGAGCTATGATATCTCTCTGAAGGGCCATCATTTCTCCTGATCTTTCAGTGAATGTTATTTCACCCAGTATAAGATGATTGGTTTTTCTCTTGCTTCTTCTTTCCCAGTTTGAGCAGCCAAGACTTTGTTGTCTAATGAGTGGTCTACAAATGTTTCTGCTGATATGTGCTGTTTTCCTTCCCAGACATTTGGGTGTACATCAGGTTTGGACAAGCTCTGAAAAACATGATACTACTGGACCACTTTTACATCCCTCTGGCAAATCCTCTTTTCTCCTCCAAATCTCCATTTTCTGCCTATAATTACTTAAATGAATGATAGGAACTACATGCTGCAATAAAACCTGATTGGTGTATCTTGTGGTTTTTCCCTCAGGTGTGGAAAGGAGCCCTGAAGAGATGTCTGAAGGCAAAGTTGATGTCTCCACGATTCTCTCCCCATTTACAACAAGGGAGGTGTGCTTCAGTGAAGAGAATTTTGACAAACTGGTGAAGCTGACTGATTACAATGTCCTGAATAATGAGAAGTTGATTATTCGGGCCTTGCGCATGGCAGTGGCACGGAGGAAGCAGAGAAACTATTAGCCATCATCTGCTAGTTTTAACCTTTCAAATGCAATATTTCTGGGGTTGTCTGTGATCTTGTGAGATTAAAATGTTTGATACTTGACACTTTAATGTGTAGTAGAAAATGTGTCATCCTGAGGACTTGCTGAACTTCAATTCCTCCTATTTGACTGTTCAGATGAACATATTGAAACTTGTTTTTGATTAAACCACTGTAAATTACAAAGCAGCATATTTACATTTAGTTTTGTTACCTTGTTACTTTACTAATGGAGATATATTCCATATAATTTAACATCATGTTTTCTGAGATAATGAAATATCGTAGCACATTAAAAATGTGAATCAAACCAGTATTCATATGTGTTTTTCTGTTCAGCAGAACAGCAATCCCTTGAACAGGAGTTTCGCTCATTGATAGCTAATCCATTGTTTGTTATTGCTTATCTTAATTATTGACACCCTAAAACTTGTTATATCTGATGTGTTTGTCTACTATAAATTTTTTAATTCAGCTGTCTTTCTTCACCTGTCTTTGAAAATAAGCTTTTTTTCAAGTTACAATCAGTGTTAAAATATACAGACTTTTCACCATCCATTAAAAAATATTAATCAAAACCCACTCTGAATCAGGTCATCTTTTGTTTCATATGGTCAAAAGTATTCTTTGAGCTCCAGGATAGTACAGGTGTTGAGATCAGGGGAGAGTCTTTAAGCAGCGTGGTCAGCAGGGCTAGGGAAGTGATTGTCCCCCTGTACTCTCTCTGGTGAGGCCGCACCTCGAGTACTGTGTTCAGTTTTGGGCCCCTCGCTACAAGAAGGACATCGAGGTGCTTGAGCAAGTCCAGAGAAGGGTGATGAAGCTGGTGAGGGGTCTGGAGAACAAGTCCTATGAGGAGCGGCTGAGGGAGCTGGGCTTGTTCAGCCTGGAGAAAAGGAGGCTCAGGGGCAACATTATTGCTCTCTACAGCTACCTTAAAGGAGGCTGTAGCAAGGTGGGGGTTGGCCTGTTCTCCCACATGCCTGGTGACAGGACGAGGGGGAATGGGCTTAAGTTGCCCCAGGGGAGTTTTAGGTTGGATGTCAGGAAGAACTTCTTCACCAAAAGGGTTGTTAGACATTGGAAAGTGCTGTCCAGGGAAGTGGTGGAGTCACCATCCCGGGAGGTCTTCAAAAGACGGTTAGATGTAGAGCTTAGGGATATGGTTTAGTGGAGGACTGGTTAGTGTTAGGTCAGAGGTTGGACTCGATGATCTTGAGGTCTCTTCCAACCTAGAAATTCTGTGATTCTGTGATTGATTATGCTCTGAAGTGACAAATTTGTTTATGTGTAATCAAGTTCTAGGAAATAGAAAAAATACTTCTGTGCTATGGGAAAAACAGCTGATGGTGTATCTGGAGCAGTTTGGGTGGTGAAAGAGAAGGACTGGGCCATGTTTTTGACCTATGAGAGTGTTCATTGTGTTCATGCTACTGCAGCACTTTGAAGGACACAGTGTAACTGCGTGCAGTACTGCATGTGTAGATTGACATTATTAGTCCTGCATGGTATGAAGCAATGCTAATTATGGTTCAGCTTCAGAACACTAGAATCAGCTCAAGGGATCTGGGTGTTTCCCAGGGTTATCTTTGGTTTGACTGTCATGGTTCCTAGGCCTTTTTTGGTGGAAATGAAACTGGGAAGAATGGAAGCTGTGTTCTGTCCATTTTACAAGGAAAACATGTTCAACAACAGGACAAAAAAAAAAAAGACAGGCACATGAGACAGCCTCAGCCACATTAACCCTACTTTTCATAAGAACTAATTAGTCCATCTTTTAACTATGACTAATTACTGCACTGACATAGCTATGCTCCTTCCCATGTCAGCCTTGGGGTATCCCTGCATTATGTCCTGCTGGCTGATACAAAAGCTGGCTTTTTCTTCTTTAAAGGGAGTTCCTCCTGTCCTCAGATCACTCCACAGTTCTTTATCTTCCCAATTTCAGTATCATCTGTTTGAAACAGGGTGCCAAAAATATTTTTTATTTATAAAACCTGCAATAGGCTTAAAACTGAGCTGTTTGCAATCTCTTTAGGAATATTTCCTTTGACTACTGCTTTTTGTGATCTGTTAGTTATCCATCCTTCATCTGTTTAACATTTGGATGGTGTTTGTTATGACATTTAAGTTATAGCATGTCTGTGAAGTTAAATTTATCAGTCAATTCTCATTCCATTGCAAAGTGAAGTGAAATTATTTTGTGTTCCATTTTTTAATTAAATTTCGTAATATCAATGGTAACATATTTTTTTTTGTCTTCCATCTCGTTATGTCTTGTGTATTCACTTTGTGTACTCCCTCACTCAGAGACCGCCTAATATGATGCTAACAGTGCCCTGCACAGAGAGGTCTCATAAATGCAGGGACATAAAGAATATGCTAGAACACGAAGCATAATTAACATTAATTTCAAGTGACACCCTAATGTATTCTGAGATTGTTGGCTTCAAAACTTTTAATTTAGGTGTGCAAAATTAAACCTTTTGAGAACGCGAGTGAACTGTTAAAGCTTTGCCTTTACTATGGAAACTCTTACAGTCTCAACAGCTGATTTGCAAATTTTCATGCACTATTTTTCACTGCAGTAACTGCTTGTCTGAATGAGAATTTCTTGCATAAAACCATCACAGAAGAAGCTGAAATAGGAATTCATAAGCATTCATAGGAATGAAAAATTGTCTTTCAGATCTGTATTTAAGCAAATACCCATCTTCTCCCTATAGGCAATAAAAAAACTACAATCATTTTGTCTGCACAATGATTTGTTTGGATATCTTTGGCCAAAGAAGCCCTTGACTCCTACTCTTGGGCAGACAGATGGACAGTGCCTGATGCCAGCTGACTCCACACAAGAGGTGGCAGTCTGACAGCCCTCCATAATGCAAAAGCTCTGTGGCCTCCTAAAGAAGGAATGGGGCTGCTCATGAGTACCAAATATTTGTTCAGTGCCCAGAACTCTGAAGGGGAGATCCTTGTTGGGTCTTGATGCCCCTCTGGCCCCAGTTCCCAAGGCTGTCCTGCACTGCCAGAGCTGGGTTGTTCGTGTGTCAGCTGCAGGCACTCACCTGCCAGCAGCGAGGAGGAGGAACTGGGGAATTGCTCAAGTGGCTGGGGTGAGGCGGGCTCTGAGTCAGGCACCCACACACCTGTCTGTCTGCTCCAGGCAGCTTAAAGCAGGAGAAGCTGCCTCGTGGTCATTCCTCAGCACCCATCCACTGCTACATTTCACATCTGTCTTGAACGCGGAGAAGACCACGATGGGGGTGTTTTACAGCACAAGCCAGGTAAGAAAAGGGAAGAGGAGGCTCTGGGATGAACTGTGTAGGCAGCCTTAACAGTAGTGGGGATCTTCTGTGGGAAGTGTTGTTGTTCCTGTGTCTTCAGCTCCGAGATTCCTTCTTTAGCACCAGAGCTGAGGGCAATGGGTTTTGTACCCAATTTGAAAGCTTCTGCCTGGGTTTTGTGCCCAATTTGTGTTTTCCCTTGAGGAATGCAAAGGCTCTAATGCTGCTGTAATTTTACTATATTTTGTAAATCTCCAATAAAAAAAAAAAAGACATCTTTTTATATGTTGGCTGTTGTCTTTCAATTCCCTCCAATGGGATTAGGCAAAACAAGCTACGAAGGCAAACCAAAGAGGCATTACTAATGTCAATGACTGCATAGGGAAAGACAGAAAGTTGGTATTATGTAAGGAATGAAATATGAGCTCTCTTAGAAATTCTGGGAACTTGGGGGCATGAGGGAATGAATGGTAACACAGAAGGCTTTCACTGTTGTACAGCTATCTATGTATTTGTTGCAGTGATATTCCCTGCTTTATGGGTAGTGTGCATGAGCACTCTCTTACATATTTGTTACATTGCTACAGAGACTTTATTCTTTGTTTCTATTTTTGTTGTTTGGTGGTGGTTCAGAGCATTAATAATGCAATTTTTTTCTCCTTTTATTCCTTTTAAAAAAAGAGAACACAATTATCTAGGGGATAAACTACCTCACCTTCAGACCCCATACTTTTGATTAAGTACCATGTTTGTCCACTCCTTGCTTTAGATGAGGGAGGATGACAAAATCAAACCAGTTCCCTGGCAGATTTGTAAAATATCTTTGATAACCACTGATGTTTAGGTGGTTTCACAGGAGTTCCAATGACACTTTTCTGTGACCTCTGCATAAGGAAAATTGGATAAACTGAATTATTCTGACATAAATAATTACAGAACAGTTGTTTTCACTGTCCCCTTTTGAGAAATCTGAGATAGGTCCCTGGAAGATATTTCTTATTCTTCATTGTCTGAGAGCCAGCACTGATTTATGTCAAACATAACAATGGAGCTATATGACTATAAACCACCTGACACGCAGTGTCGTTACATCATGATATCATTACTAATTCCTGCCCTGCTAGATTGTCAACTATTTATTGTGAAATATAGTAGATATATATGACATCCTCTGAATTTGCACAGACCAAGATGTGTATCAGCTGTATTAATAACACAGCAAGGTTCACTATCGCTTATTTTTCTGTGGTTGCATTGTAAGAGTTAGTCAGCCACCACAAGTTGAGGGTTTCCAAAAGTTTCCTCAGAATGGAAAATGGAGGGCATTGGAGGTTTGGTCTGTGGCTGAGTGTGCATTTGAGGTCTTTGGCCACACTTGGCTGTAAATCTGGGAAGACAGAGAAGATGATGCATAAGGAAGAACCTCAGTCTGGAAACATTTTAGATAGTGTTCAAACATTTCAATACCAACCATCTATGACTATGCTTCTGTTCTTTCTCTCTGCATGTTAATCCCATGCTTTTTGTATGTTGTTCTACAGACAGAACCCTCTCCATGCAACTTGTTCACTGTAAAAATAATACGGATGAAAAATGCCAGGAAAGCAGACCTGTGTGAGTATCTTTATACCTCTGGATTGTCCATGTGCTTATAAAACTACCTGGAAAATTACTAAGTGTCACAAACATCACAGAGTATTTATAAAAGGAGAGGGAAAGACAGAGAAGAGGTTTGACTATGGTATGGTGAAGGTGAAAAACTGTAATTAGAGAATTTTATATATATTTTATATATAATTTTTATATATCTTTACCAGTGTAATGCTGAGATCCAGCTGCCAGCTGTAGTTCAGTAGTTCTTTTTGCATAGAATGTATAAAATGCAGATTCAAATGCAAAACAAAGAACAGTTATTTAGTCATAAGGAATGATCCAATGAGAAGTTTAGATGGTGGTCACTTCTACGGTTCCTTCATACAGTAATGTCCAACTTGTCCATAGCACAGATCATTTTATGTGAGCTTAGGACTGGATATTTGACATCTGTCATGGATTCATTTTTAACAGAAAGACTAGTTAAATATTGGAACAGGCTGCTCAGGGAAGTGGTAGAGTCACCATCCCTGGAGGTATTTAAGAGATATGTGGATGTGGTGCCTATCGACATGGTTTGGTGGTGGTCTTGGTGGTGTTAGGTGATCATTGGACTAGATCATTTTCTGTGTCTTTTCCAACCTAAATAATTCTATGATTCTATGACTGTCCCATTTGATTCAGCTATAGGAGATGCGTGTTTCAAAGCTTAGTTGAGTGCTTGCTCTATTAGCTGTTTTTATTCTTAGTAATGTTTACAAAGTGCCTGGAAGTCAACAGGTATGTAGAACTTTATTAATGCTCCATAAATACCTGAACTGCAAAGCAGAAGAGTAAAAGGTATGAGTAACAATCACCTCCAGTCTGAGGAGATGGCTGATTGTCTTGTGTTCATTCATTTACACAGATAGGAAAGTCTCAGTTCAGAATATTTCTGTATGAACCACACGAAGTTAAATTTGTTCAGTTAAAATGATGCAGTACAAGAGATTTTTTTGCACCTTTCCATAGTGATTAGCCTCGAATTCTGTTGTTCCTCTAGAGCCGAAAGGCATAGGAACAGAAATTTATCACTCATTTTTATTGACGAGAAGTAAGATACTTTCTTTTTGCTGAATGTATGGGGAAGAAGAGTCCCTATGAATAATTTGTATCATGTAGAAAGGAGATCTGAAGTTCAATTAGAGGCTGGACAGAAATCTCTTGCTACAGCTGAAATCTACTTAAAGGTACTGAAGTGTACTCTGAGCTGAAAGAAGTGTGGAAAAATACTGCCCTTAAATATCTCCCCAGATATTCATGTTCTATTAAGCTCTCCACATGAGAATGAGCTTACCAAAACTCCTCTATGTCTTATTCTCATCCAGATCAACATATTTTGTTTTTGTCTTCAAACTATTTTTGTTCTGAAGAGAGTTGCCTATGTCTTGCTGCTTTCCTTCCCAATAGTAGAAATATTTAGGGCCTGGACCAGGTGCTGAGATGCTTGAGCATTTCTGCTTCCCAGCCAGAGGCATGTTCCCAGCCTGTACCTCTGCCCAGAGGAGTGGTTTGAAGGCAGTGATGCATTCAGAGCATGGCCTGGGGTCTGGAGCTGCACAGGCTCCCCAGGCTAAGGCTGTTTTGCCTTATGCTGTGAAGCATGTATTGGATGTTGCTTGCAAAAAAAAGAGTAACAAGCATTTCACCACCAATATTGCCAAGCTATAATCTGTTTGAAATGGTCATGTAAGTCAAACCATGGATGGCACAAACAAAGCAAATACTGTACTTGTAAAGGTGAATTCTTTGTTTGTTGGGTACTTCCACAGGGTAAGGAAAGAGAATCCCTAAAAGAACTGTCCAAGATGTATAAGAGAAATTAGGAATGATATTTTGGTATAGAAGAAATTGTCCTGTGAAGCAGGGCAGCCGGTCTTTTGGTATCCAAACTGGCATACTAGGAGATTTGCAGGTAGGAAGCACAGACAGGCTGTGAGTGTGTCAGTTTGTGAGTCTGAATGGACTGAAGCCTCCATCCAGTGGAAGACAAGGAAACAGGAATGATATGTCTGGTTTTTGGTTGCCTTGACTAGGATTTCATATTATCACTCCTGGAGTTAAGGACTCAACTAGTAATGTTGCCTCCCTTAAATTCAGCTTTTTACCCAGGACACTGTACTTGGAGGATTACAAACTTTGTACCAGTCATGACACTGCCTTGCATACACTTAATTTCTGAATTTTTTTTTACTGACTGCTGTTTATTTCCAGAATCATTCATGTTTTGTTGAGTGTGAAATTTGTCATTAACATTTTTCTGGAAGGTCTGCTTTTAAGGCTTCAGCATGTAGTTTGATATACAGACAGACTTGTTTAGGTCACATATTTCAATTGGGTACTCTTGAATATATAAAATAAACACGATTCGAATTTTAAAATATATTAATGTCTGGTTAAAGTTACTGGCAATGTAAAAGCTAGTGCAAATTTCATGTTGGTAACTATATGACTTTCTGTGAGAAGAAGGAAACTAGGAGACTTAAAATGAAAAATGCACAACTCACAAAATTTAGCTTTTTTGTATGTGTATTGCTGTGTAATATTTTAAAGTTTTTTTCAGTCATTGTTACAGTTCCCTAAAGATTAGCTTAGCACAGCCTTAGGGAACCCAGAAGCATGTGGGCATCCATCACCAGCTATGCTGACTTCTTTACAATACCGTTTTACTAACAGTGATTTTTTTTTTTTCTCATTCATCCTTTTTCTTTTATATCATTTTCCTTTTCCTGGAAACCTTGCTGTATAGAGGCAGGTGAAAAGTGTCAACTACTTCTAAACTTTAAATTAGCTCTTTCTGCTTCTCTCCAGTTATGCCCATCCTTTTGTTTTGGAGATGAATCCCTTTTTGTTATTTTCTCTCTAAAGATCATTTATTGCATGATTTCTGTACAGTCTTTGTATCACCGTGTTTAATACTCACCTAGTGCTTAGAATTCCTCCCTACTTGGTACTGCACTTTAGTTTCATTGTTGTTCTATCTGCTTTATCTTCTAGATAATACATGGAAATGGGAAAATCAATACACCATAATAGTCTCAAAACTTCACTAATATCTACTACAAAACAGATATTACAACATCCTTAATGGAAGTTCAGTGCATAATATTTTGATCTAAGACTATTTGAATTGCTTCATTCTAATATTTAACCCTTAATTTATTTCATACATCCTTGTACTATTCCATCTTTTTCCCACTGATTCATCAATGTGTAAATTATATGTCAACACTAATTCCATTTGTGTATTGATGCATCAGTGACATTATTGATATCACCTATGACTTTAGTGCTTGTTTATGATCTCCACATTCCCCCTTCCCACTGAACACACCCACATCCCCATCAGGCTCATTGGGGTTATTAATATTCCTGGACCAGCTACACTTGCCAGTTCCCAGATTTGGGTGTGGACCTCATCTGCATCCTGACTCCTTAATGGTGTGAGACTTGTATGTACACCAATCCAACACACCTTTAAAAACAGTATTTTTTCTGTAAAGAATTTCAAATTTCATGCTCAGCCTTTTCCAGTCCTTGGGCAGCCATCATAGCTTGATAACAAACAGAAGAAAATTTTTTTTTTTTTTTTTTTTTTTTTTTTTTTTTTCCTGCAGCTGTTTCACCTAGGGAGCTCCTCACAGCAGGAGACTATGTATGGCAAAAATTTGGGCGAGTTCAAGGCAGAGACTGGATGAACTCATAGAAGAAAACAAGTGCAATGAAATTTGGCTTAGGAAGTTTCTGAATTTCAAACTGTGAAGGCTAAGGGTATTATGTGATGTTTGCCCTCTAACAAACTTCCTCATACATTCGCAAAATATGGGTCATGGGCTCCTCTGACACTGATGTCTAACCTTCATAAGACCAAAGATCTCTCCCAAAAAAGGGCAAAAGGGCTGAAGAACATGATTTCTGGAGAGAAAAAAAATAATTAAGCGGAATCAACAAATCAAACTAAAACAAAACAAAATACCTCAGAGTATTAAGGTTAAAAAAAAAAAAAAGTAAAAAAGCAAAACCGTATGGAAATGTTGAGATGAGCATTTTCAAACCATCATGGTCTGCTTCCTGAAAATATTTTAGAGCCCTCAGTGGATGCTGAGGAGCACTGGGCTAACTGGACTGGCATAGAGTTAAAAAATATTCTTCAGCATTTTTTAAGTGCAATAATGATGTTTTCTGAAGTTCAGGAGGCTGGGGAGGGGGCTATTTTTTAGGTTTGATAATTTTGCAAAGTTACATTTTGGATCTTTTTTTTAATGTAAGGCTTGATATTTTGGATATAATAATTTATAAAATTATGAAGCACGTGTATAGTTTATATTTTATGGCATTGCAGTTGCAGTTCTGACATGCATGAAATCAATTCATGGAAAGATCCTTGAGATCCTGCAATGAAACATAGCCAGCGAAATACATTATTGTTTGAGGAACTATGGTCCAATATGATATTTATTAGAGGAACCCACAGACTTCCTCCAGTGTTTGGTTCTTGCACTGTTGTTATAGTTTCATTGTTATTTATTACTTACTTCACCATGATATTTAAGCAGTTGCAATTATGTACTGACAGCCTATTGTTCTAGATGCTGCTTGAAATCTCATTATAAAATAAGAAGATGTGGACTGATAAAGCCCAGTAAGGGCCAAGAAAACAGAAAAATTGTTGTTTGGCAAAATCTCAGCAAAGGACAGCTTTATAGAGATGTGAATGAAAATGATAGTTTTATGGATACCTGTAGGGTGTGCCACCCTAATGAAGGGTAGGATGGGAGAGTGTGTGAAAGCTTTTTATTGATGTTTAGCTAGCAGGTGATGGAGATTAATGTTGAATGTTGCCAGGAAGCAGGAATCATTCTCCCAGGCCTGAATGAATATGGTAAGTCTGTTAAGGGCCTTGGAAATGAAGGTGTTTATTTCCACAGAAGTAACCCATGTCTTTAAAAAATCCCAATTAATTAATTAATGATCTAAAATATCTAAATTTGTACTCTAGATGGTAGCAATGCCACTGTACCCATCCATAGCCAGGTCTCTCTTCTCCCCAGTGCTGGATGAAGAATAATACTTTCCTCAGATGGTAGTGATAGTTTGTATTTCATGAGACGGATGGGTCCAGATGAAGAAAATCCATGATCACGGAGATGATCTGGATAAGCAGCTCAATGTTTGAGACCACATTAAAAAAAAAAAAAAAAAAAAAAAAAAAAAGAGAGAGAGGGGAGAAAAAATGGTTAAAATTTTGGTTCAACCTTGTTTGAATGTGAGCTGTTTATGGGAGGAATGAGACTTCAGTTTGAGCCAGAACAGCTGGTGCCCTGCTGTTGTCTAGGGGTACAGCATTGGTACTGAAGCCAATGTTGTTTAGCATTGGTCATGTCACTGTAATGCTTTCTAATGGTAAAGCACAATTAAAATCCAGTCCTGCTGCTATCCTGGAAGCTAATTAGAAACTTAGTGTAATAACTGCATGAAGAGACTGGGCTTTCATAAGCACCTGCTGCCACACCTGCTTTTGGCAGGATATTGCCCCATGGTGATACCACAGCTGCCATCTCAAGCATGTTTCAACAGCTGCTCACATGTCATGGTCAATGGGAGGGACACAGGTTGCTGCTGGGAAGTTCTGATGGGTACATCATGTGTGAGCATCATTGCTGCTGTTCACCTCCTGTAGTCAGTTGGCTTTTAGGCTTACGTACCATACTGACGATTTGTTTGCACATGCCTGGTAATGGGAGCCTTGTATATATACACAAAGAGTCCCTTTATATAATGTGATGTGGTGTTTTGCTGTGTTATTGATGGGCTTGGGCAGAGTGTTCGCACCTGTTCGTACTTGCAGCCAGTCAGGCAGAACTGCAGGGTCATTCACAAACTTCAGTGGGTCCTCCTCCCAGAGGGGACAAGATCTGACAGCAGTGTGTAGATCTCAATCTGGAGTTACAAAGCATCAAAAAATGTTTTCATACAGACTTTTCCTCTATAGACATGGAAGTTTGGAAGCTATTAGGACTGTTAGAAACAAAGATGACTTAAGTCTCAAAGGGAATCATCAAAAAAATAAATAAAATGTCTTTGTTAATTCTTCAGTTACACATAGAGTGCACTAAGGGGCCAAGGTGTTTCCCAAAAGTCAGACCCCCTGATAAAACTAAGTGGGACAATGCTAAATCACAGAATCACAGAATTGTCTTGGTTGGAAGAGACATACATATAGCAATGCTGATGATGGGATTTACATTTTTGGGCACTACTCCATCTGGTACTTGCATAAGTTATTGCTCCTAACAAAAAAAAAATATATATATATATATTGTGTATGGTGGTCATCCTGGACCCTGGAGTGTGAATCCAAAGGATTGCTTATCTCATGATTCACATTTGCATTTTATTGCTTAATGACTATGACAAAAAGCATTCACAGGCAGATTATTCTGACTTCAGAATGAAAGTGCTCATTGATGATCTAACCACTGCAGACAGCTGCTAAACACTGTTTCATTCTTAAGCCTTGGTCCTAAATATTCCTCACTTATGAAGGAGCTCATGTGGGAAGCCAAACTTCACAGCTAACCTCTTCATCAGGGAAAGGAAAATGAAAACCATAAAGTTTGCCCCACTTAGCAACTGGGCACATTCAAATTCATAGGTGAACTTTATGACTTGAACACACCCTTAATTGAAACAACAAAGCAAAAGCAATGCAATCTTGTGCAAAGCAGCAGCAGCATCTCAGTATGGTCTGGGAAGCACAGACAAGCTTTTTCATCTGTACATAATATTGCAAATGTCATTACTACTCTGAGGCACAAAGGTGGAGTTGACATTAAAAATACTTTAATAGAGCTTTACTGGCTAAAACTCTCCTTCAGGACAGCTTCTTAAAACAAGTGCTATACCTTCAAACTGCTCAATATTTCCAATTCCTTTCTTCCGTGTGCTTATTTTAATCCACTTCACAAAGGATTAAATACAATTTATTTCCTCTGAAGGAATATATACATCTTTTATTGAAAGGCTCTGTTGTTGAACTCTCACAGTGTATATGTTCCCTTTAATCTTCCAAAGGGAAGAAGGGAGCCAGAGATAAGGTGCCTCAGCAGAGACGTGTCCTCTGACAGCAGTGGTCCTTCATAAGAACCTTCAGTGCAAATAGCTTTCACTGCCAATGTGTTGGCAGCCAGATGTGCTAGAGGAAAGAAAGGATACTCTGAAAAGTAGACAGGACAGAACTTACAGCCAGAGCTACCCCAGAAACGTTAAGGCATGGCCCATTATTTTCACTGTTACTTTTCCCACAATGAAAAGAGGTAGCTCTCAAGAAGAGAAAAATGCTAGGATTTCACAAAGGGTGAAGTCAGCTTGGCTGTACAGCATTGACTTGATGGCACCTTATCTAGGATCCCAGCTCACATTCTGCATATTGTGCTGTGTACAGAGCTTAAAAATTCATACAGTGCCACAGCTTACGGGCTACTAAATGTGGCCCACTGGTCCATTGCTTTCACGCTTCCCTTCTCTTCTGCAGTAACCCAGTCTGACTGCTACGTGAGCCTGAGCCTGCCAACAGCCTCAGTGCAGCATTTCCGCACCAAAACGATTCCAAACACGAAGAACCCAACGTGGAATGAGACCTTCCACTTCACGATTCAGAGCCAGGTTAAGGTAGGAACCGCAGCTATCCCTGACAGTTGGCATTTGCCTTCTACCCACCTCCTGATGGTCAGGCTGAAGGTCCAGATGCCCCCTTCCCTGCCTAAAAGTCATTTTTCTTACCAGACATGAAATGGTACCATAGCTTCCCACACTGTGGGTCTTCCTGAGTTTCTTTGTGAAGTATTCATACTGTCTAACTGCAGTTATTTAGCTTTTGATACATGCATAAGACTGTGTATTCCTGCACAGTCAATGGAGCCTGTAGAGAATAACTGCAAAACTTCTATTTTATTGTTTCCTTTGCATTCCTTCTTAAACTTCTAACCCAAATTCCTCCAGCTGAACGGAAGTAACTGTAGCATCTTATATTTGTTAAATCTCATACAATCTATTTTTTCTGTTCCCAGAACATTCTGGAGCTGAAAGTTTGTGATGAGGACAACATGACACAAGATGACCACCTCCTTACTGTTTTCTTTGATGTTTCCAAAATCCAGCTTGGAGAAAACATTCAGCTAAGTTTCCAGCTGAATCCACAGGTAGGGATAAAATTTAAAGACAAAGCTAAGGGGACATGGTCAAGCAAGAATGTGGTTTTCTCAGCTTTCATCTCACCTGCCCAGAATAGAGGCCTTTCCTACTGTCGATTTAGTCATCTGAATATGCCCATCTATTTCAGGGGTTGGTGCCCAGTTTTGCCTCAGTAATTACAGTAAATTTTGGGTGCTGCTTTTACAGATAGAGTTGGCCGACATTATCATGCTTGTTTGGTTGCTCTACTTGATGTCAAAATGTTGAGAGCTTTAGGCTTTCCTTTGCAGTTGGAGCTCATGGTTTTGAGCTGTGACTCATGTCCAACTGATATAAAAAATAGTGGTCTTGACTTCATAACCAAAGTTCATTCTCCAGAACACCCTGGGCTTTGCATGACCAGCTGTGCTGCCATGTTAATGAGCCACCAGGCCCATTTGCTCAGGTTGTGGGTGAGGCTTGGGAGAGAGGCAGGATGATTTGTATGCACCAGAGAAATTCAGTCTTGGTGATGCTGAGAATTAGTGGGGAGCACTGAGAGCTTGTGAGCAGGAAAGAGGAATTGCAGGTGGCCTGTGAAGCAGTAGAGGGTGAATCTAAGATTGTGGAAAGGCAGAGAAACTGTCAAGAGATCCTGCAATATGTTTGGCTTACAAAGTGTCAACTAGAAGCCTGCCGATATAATGGCTATGACATCAGAAGTATGTAATATGAAGTATAACAGATAAAACGCAAAGAAAATGAAATCTGTGGTGTGTGAAGTTACTAAAGGTGGACACTGGCTTGGAGCCAGTTCCCTGAGAAGCACAGATTCCTGTAGGGTGTTTTTCAGCACAGAGGAATCCACATGCAGTGACTTAATTCATTTTCTTTCCCAGGGAAAAGAGGAGCTGGAGGTTGAATTCACAATGGAGAGCAGGTGAGTCAATCAACAGAAATGCAAGCAAACAAATGCTTCTGATATACAAAACATCTGTTTATGCTTGCAGCCCCTCCTAACACTGTCATAGTCTGAATAAACTAGAGGGAAATTTGTGTGTTCAGGAAATGCTTGTGCATTTAGCAGAGAAGGGGTGAATCCATACCAGGCACCCAGACACTGAAGAGCTAGGACAGGCAATGAGAGAGGCATGGAGATGTCTCCTGATTGCTGCTGCTTGCCAGGCTGCAGGGGGCACTCTGTGCAGGAGGATGTTTTAAGTTTTACACCCCTCCTGCTCCTTCCTGTGATGTCTGTCCCAGATGTTTGCTTTGTCACAAGAATGTGCAAAAATACTTGAAATCTGAGTTGTGGGTATAGATTTACAAATATTTTTTACCCTGTTTCTATGCTGACTGTACTTTTAATGGAGAGAATGTGAAAGAAAATCAGTCCTAGTGCTTCTGTTGTAAGTTGGATGAATTCACCAGCTTTTCAGTACTGATTGCCCAGCAATATAGGGCAATAATCTAATTCTGCCATTCCTGTACTTTTGTGTCAGAAAATGATCCTGTCTGATGCAACAAGGAGCTCCTCTGTTCAGCAGCTCTCCATAAATACAGTACCCAGGCTTAATGTTCAGCCTCAGAGAGGCAAATTGGACCAAGTGTCCAGCTAGAATTTCATATGCTGTTTACTCATGTTGCATATCCAAAGATAGGCTTTTAAAGATAATGAAAGAAAGAAAAAAAACAACAACAACAACAACAAAAAAACCACCGGGAGAGTGCTAGTTGTGAACTAATTGTTTTCCATTTTGTCTTTTAGTCCGGATCCTCCTGAAAACATTATTACTAATGGCGTCTTAGTGGTAATTTTTATTTCCTAACTCTTTCCCTGCTGTATGGCCATGCTTATTGCAGAACCAGGATTAAAGGTGCTGCGCAGTTGCTCCATAGAGTGGCATGGAGGCATTGGACATGGAGCAGGCAAATGCTGGTGCCAGCAATTCCCACTGGTGACTCAGGCTGGGAGAGGCCGCAGCTGCCTCTAGTGCTCGCCTCTGCCCAAACTGAGCAGGACTGGGGTGGAAGATCATCCCCCTTTGCGTGGGAACAACCAAGCTGAGCATTCTCCTTGGGGTGCCCACCCTGCACCCCTTCCCCTGGGCCCTTTTTCCTGATGCCAAATGCCACTTCCCTTGACCTGGTGGAGGGGTGACAGCCTGGCATCAGCCTGGGCATGTGAATAGAGGTTTGGCTGAGGTCAGGCTTGACCAGCAGCAAATGCCTTTTCTCTTTCTCTGATCATTTCTTCCAGTCCCGTGAAGTTTCCTGTCTAGATGTGCAGGTGAATGGTGGCAAGATGAGGAAGGATAGCACAGGTGAGCCTTCGCTGACTTACAGAGAAAATCTGTAGGCTGCTTTATGGTAAAAGTGCTCAGCATTTTACCCTTGAACTCTCTGGTTCAAAATGGTTGACAATGCAAAGCAAAATCTCAGCAATGTCAGTGACTGGAGGGGGCTGTAATTGATCAAAACCACAGAGATAATTGCAGAGTGCAGCCTGATGAGCTTGTTGTCTGGTTTTCCTGCAGAAGACTTTCCCCTATAATAATATCTTGTCAGATGCTTATAACTTTCCAAATTATTTGTGAAGGGTGTTGAAATTTTCTAAGTCCTCAAATGGAGCAAAATCCTGTTTCTGGATTCAGAGAAAAAGAAAATGGGCAAGATAAGGACTGAGCCTCTCTTGCTCAATTTCACTTTTAAACATTTCTTTAGGTGTAACAAAATAAAATGTGCCACTAGATGAAACATGAGATGCACACAATATATTACCAAAAGTACCTGTTGCACATTTTAAGTAGCACATCGGTATTGTGTTAAGCCTACGCTTGTGGACCTGTGTATTTCCTAAGCAATTTTTAAGACATTGTGCTCTGGCATCTCTCGATGGCTCCAACTTCACATGCTGTGGTGCAAAGAAGGGATACTTTCATACTGCAAACCACATTTTTTGGAAGGACTTAAATTTGAAACACCTTCATAGCCCCCAACATAAATTACTTGCAGTCTGTGGTGAATTTAGTGAGCACTGGTGGAGCTCAGGTCCCCACAAGATGGAATATTCTTATAGCTAAGAAGTGTGGACAGACATACACAGTGGTTTTGGGTATTTCAGAAAGCGAGGCCTGTTTGTGAGGATATGAGGATGTTTTTTCTGTCATCCCTTCAGAGAGGAAATTTGCACTAACGGTGGATGGCTCATATGAAGGGACCCGGACCCACACACTGAGCTCCTGCCTGTGCCCAACTTCACCAGCCAGGTTCCACTACATCAAATACCACCAGTCAGCGCTGGCTGTGGCGCTGCCGCGGCGGAGGCTGCTCAGCAGGGTACGTGGTCACCCCTAATGGGCAGATGGCTCTTTGCTGTGTGCTTCTTTGGGAACCTCTGAGGTCTGTGTATGCAGGGAATTGGTAAGTGAATGAATGTATGTGAGGCTGGGGAGACTGCTTTTTACTTCTTTTTGTCTTTTGTGTAACTCTCCTCATTATTATTATTTTTTTTTCTCCAGTCTATATCAAGCCAAAATGAAAGGGATATGAACGAGTCTGTGACTGTAGCTCTGAACTTGCTTCCTATACAAGAGAAAATAACAGTAGCACAGGTGAGAAGTGAGTTATTAATAAAACTCCATCCCAATACATTCTCATTTTGGTGGGTGATGTGAATTTTACACTCCAGTGACTTGGATCCAGTCAGGTACAACACATGCTGCAGTTATAAACTGTGAATAACTGTCAGTGACAGTATAGCTATGCAATATTTATTATTATTATTATTATTATTATTATTATTATTATTATTATTATTATTATTATTATTATTATTAGTTGGCTTTTGTTATGCATGTGGTTCCAGGCATGCTGTTCAACCCTGTCCTGAGTTGAAACTAATTTATTAAAGGAATATCTAATACGTTTATCAACACTGTATGTGAGCTAACAGTATATGTGACATTTAATACTGATAATTTGCAAGGGAGAAGTCTGAAGCAGAAGGCAAAACAGAACATCCACATGCCTGTGGTTCAGGTGTTCAGCTTTTAATGAGCTTCTTAGAAAACAAAGGGCAAACTACGTGTTCATTTGTGGAAAACTGAGGGGCTATGCTTCTATCCAGCTCAGATTGCACCGGAGCCTGTTACATACCTCATAACCCAGGCCATTCATTGCTTGACCACATACAGCAGCAAAAAGAGTAAAACTCAGCCTATAGATGGTGTGGCGGAGGAATATGCAGGATTAATGACCTGAGCATGCTTACATTGTTTCATTTGCTATTTTCAGGACAAGACAATCGACTTGTATGTAAAGGCAAACGAATGGTAAGTGAGTCTCCAGCAACGCCTTATACTGTAACTGGGAGACATTTGCAAGTACACAAAGCTCATTTGAAATCAGCAGGGGTCATAAAGACTCAGACCTTGGTAAGCAGAGATGTGTTCCACTTCTGGTCTCAGGCTTTTGATTGCCAGGTTCTCCTTAGTCAGTGATGGATAACTATATTGCGGGTCCCTTTTCCTCCAAGTTTCTGAGCTGGTACTGCACTTAAGCAAGTAGGTCTCAGTTTGTGTTCACTATTATGCCCACAGATGGAGACAGTAGTTCTGCACAGAAATAATATTTCTGTATAATACCAACAAAATAAAGACAAGGTGTGGTAGCTGTTTTCCTAGTTAACCATGGTGGCTGTTGACAGCAGTTACCTAGTTACAGGCACATATGGTAGGCACTGCTGAAACTTGAAAAATCAATTATATGAGCAAACAAAACCAGAAACGTGCTGTAGGTACCTCATTCGAATACCACAGCAGTACGTCATGTTCTGCCCTGCATTCCCATTTGCATTCTTGGTAGCAGCTACAGCAATTAGCAGAGGCCTGTCTGTGGTGTTGCTCTTTCTCATTTATTACATTATGTTGTCCATTAACCAGTTTGTAAACATACACACAAGCGCAACTAGAGTTGACCACAGCAAGTAGTAATATATAATGTTGGTGCCCTGGTCTCAGGACCCAGGGTCTGTGTTTCAGGCCAAGAAACCTAGATGCCCGCCTGGGGTTTGACCTGTGCGCGGATGAACAGAATTTCCTGCAAAACCGGAGGAGGGTGGTTGCTGCTGCACTGAAGGATGTTCTTCATCTAGAGGAAGACCTGCAAGACCACGAGGTAGCTGGGAAAGGCACTGCTGTGGGATTTTTTTCTCTCTTCTTTCCCTTGGGCCTGGAGATGGCAACAGGAGTGTTTTCTCCCCTCTGTCTAGATGAGGCATGAGGACCTATGTCAGAAGCTCCTTCTCCTGGGCCCTGTTTGCATCCAGGGTGATCTGAGCTGGATTGCTCAGCAATCTGGATGAGCAAATTCTCTATTTCCATTTGGCTTTCAAATGATCATTTAAATGAACTTCAAACCATGATTCTTGTCCATCTTTCTTAAAAATCTTTCATGAAGTGCACAAATGTTTAAATATATTCCACAAGGTGGCCAGAAACTCACATTCCTTATAGCTTATAGAGCAAAATTGCTTTATCTCTAATCCATGTGTTTTATTTTACTAGCATCTGGATGTTGCATTTTCACATCTGCCTTCTTTTGATGTGAATGTCCCTTGATGTCACTTTTCCACCCGTGCTTCATGTCCTTTTCTTTGTGTTGAACAGGTGCCGATAGTGGCTGTGACAACAGCAGGGTGTGGAATAAGAGCACTCACTGCCATGTATGGCAGCATTTTGGGTCTTCAAAAGTTGCGTGTTCTGGATTGCATTTCATACATCAGTGGCTCATCTGGCACAACATGGTGAGGAATCATTTTGATACTATTGTTGAGATACTATGTGAAGCAAAACTCATGCTTTGTCTAGGCTTTTAGATCTCAGCAAGGGTAAAAGGTCACGAGTTACTGCTTCCATATAAGGCCTGTGAATGCCAGGGCCTTCATAATAGGCCTTGAAAGGCCTGTTATGCACCACATTTTTCACAGAGTCATCATAGAATCACAGCATATCCTAAATTAGAAGGGACCCACAAGGATCATCGAGTCCAACTCCTGGTTCCACACAGAACCACCCCAAAATCAGACCATGTTTCTGAGGGTGTTGTCCAAACACTTCTTGAACTCCAACAGGCTCAGTGCTGTGACTACTGTCTTGGGGAGCCTGTGTCAGTGCCCAACCACCCTCTTGGTGATGAATGTCTTCCTAACACCAAGCCTGACCCTCCCCTGTTCCAGCTCCATGCCATTCCCTTAGGTCCTGTTGCTGTCCCCAGAGAACAGAGATTAGTGCCTGCCTCTCCACTCCCCCTCAGTGATATTTGGTATCTCTGAAGTAATCTATCCCTAATTAAAATATGAGACTTTACTGGTAGTGCAGAAATCCTTAATCCAATGCAAAATTATCCTGTATGCTTAGTTACTGTTGGACAAAAACAACATAGACAGCTGGTGCAGCTGTTTGTGTTGGCTTCCAGATCAAGAGGTTATGATTTATTGCCTTTAGATTTGCATTTCTGTTCAAAGTAAGCTCAAAGTAGGGGAGTGACCTATAGCTAAAACAATAAGAAGTGCCCAAAGCTCTGCAAAATATATCCTCTCAGTTTTAAAGCCATCATCTTCATTTCTTTCCCCTCCCCATCGCATTTCCTGCTTAAAGGACCATGACCAAACTGTATGAAGATGCAGATTGGTCACGTAAGGATCTCGGAGAAGTAATTATTGAAGCTCGGAAGCAAGCAACCAAGTGCAAGATGGGTGCTTTTTCCTTGAGAAGTCTGAGGAATTATTACAGAGAGCTGAGCCAAAGGACCCAAGCAGGACATAAGACATCTTTTATTGATCTGTGGGGACTCATGATTGAATCCATGTTAAATGATGGGGTAATGTCTATTCACCTTTCTTCTCATAAAGTTGGTGACATGATCCTTATGATTATTACAAGAAAATAAAACCCTAGGAAGAAGTGCCTGGCTAATAACACTATACTTGGTATGCAGGCAGAGTATCTATTTACATTAATAACTTGGAGATGCAGTGTATGTCTACAGTAAAGCCTAAAGTGTGACTAAATGTAACAGAAATGCTTAGACTAGCTCTAAAGTAACTGGCATACTAGTTAACATTTGTAGCTGTCCACGATTTTTTCAGGATTCTTAGTTGTTTTTTATAGCCCTACATTTGATGTCTCTGCTGCTGCAATGTTTGCAGTGTTTATACAAGTCACACATTGAATGTACTGCAGATGTACCCCCCTATGTAGTTGCTGAATTAGTGCTAGAGTATAGATCCAGAGCTCCTGAGAGATCTTTGCTGAGGAACTGTCATTTTGCAGTGCCTTTCAGCTGCTTTTGATTTGGTCTCTCAGGACTGCTCCTTTCTAATGCTGTTGTAATGACAAATGCAAAAGTTTCCATGTAAACTTGCAGTCTGATGTTAACTGGAGAAAAAGCTATTTTATTTTAAAATCCCATAAAAAATGGTTTATATTTTGTCCAAGTGAAAAAAGGAAAAAAAAAAAAAGTACTGCCACTTCGTATCAGATTTCACAGTGTGTTTCTGGCCTCAGTGCTTCCTAGCAAAATGTGTTAATATTTCATTTGACGTAAGTACACTCAAAATATCAATTTCATGTATAACATAAGCCATTAGTATTGGGCAGCACAGGGAATTTTCCCTCTGGGAATATTAAACTTCAGTATGAGTTTCAATAAAATTCTTGATTAGAACCATCATTAACATGCTGCCTTGAAGAACTCACGTCAAATAGATGAAGTATATCATAATAGCAGAATTAGCTAGATCTGCCATGTTTGTTTTTTTCACTTACATTTGACAATACAAAGCTAGGAGATCATGTGAAGCACTTCATTACTGGTGCCGTACACTGAATATAGAACATAGCTCTTTTTGTTAGTGAGAGTTATTCCTACTCCCATGATTTTCTTGTCCTCTGTTTATTGGACGTATGGAAATAAATCTAGGAGGAAATTCAGATAAATAACATCCCATATTTACTGATGTCTTTATGGAACTGATTGGCAAACTTTTTTTTTTTTTTTTTTTTTAAATCCAGAAATGCTACCACAGACTTTCTGATCAACGTCGGGCAGTGAGTCAGGGCCAGAATCCACTGCCCATCTACCTTGCTCTCAATGTCAAGGACAAAGTTGCTACCAAAGATTTTAGAGGTAATGTTTCAATTCTGGGAAAAGAGCTGTGTTTTAACATAGGTATAGATCTTGTAAAGAATGACAGATCATTTTAAATTCTTGCCCAAGGCATAAGTCCTCTTGAGAGATGTAAACAATAGCTGGGAAGCCATAGGGTCGACAGCAACACTTTAAGGTTTTGTAAAATCCCATCACATTAAGTGTGCATATTTAGACATTAACTTCAGACTGCTAACATGACATAGATCCATGACACTGCCTCATAAACACTATGAATTGTTAAAGAAAGTGATTCACAGAAGCTTTAAGTTCACTTAATGTATATTTTTCATGACTGGCTAAAGGCAATAAATGCAATAGAAGCCAGACTGAATTCCAGTCCACCTTCCATGAGAAAGCTTCCCGCTTGCTAGATAAAAATAAACTTAAATTTTCTCTTAGCCCTCACTTTATTTTTTTCACAACCTTGTGGAAAGTGCAACAGCGGGTTCAATTGCCTACTGGACCTGAGAGGGAGCAGTCAGCACGGTTTGCTTTGGGCATGAGCTAAACCAGCCCATTTCCAAGAGCTGACACTTGAAAGGTTCACTCACTGTCTATTGACATTGCTGTTTTTAGTAGCATTTTTTTCCCTTGGTTACTGGAACTAACATTATTGGCATGTGTGTTGGCAGAGTGGGTGGAGTTCACGCCATACGAGGTGGGCTTCCTGAAGTATGGTGCCTTCATTCGTGCAGAGGATTTTGGCAGCGAGTTTTTCATGGGTCGCCTGATGAAGAAGCTCCCTGAGTCCCGGATCTGCTTCATGCAAGGTGACTCACCAGCCTGGGGGATTGAAAAAGAATTTCATACAAACACCAATGATTCTGGAAATTAATCAATAGCAAACCATTGTCCTGCGTGTGGTAGCAGAGGTACTGGGTCATGTCAGAAGTGGTTCAGTATCCCAGTCAGTTACATTCAGCATGTCTCCTGAAATTCACTCATCTGCCCAGCTAGCTTTATCACTGGGGCTATGAAAATGAAACTAAAAAAGAGAAGTTATGTACCTTTGCAAGTGTGTTTGAAACATCACCATTGACCTTAAAGTGCAAAACCTTTTAAAAGTTGAAAGTCTATGAAACTTTGAGAAAGCTGAGGGTAGTAATAAGAAATAAATAGAACATGAGGGAGGGGAATCAGTGAATGAGCTGGTTGAAAATATTTCACTATAGAAAGGAAAAGGAAATGAAAATAGGAAAATAGTGCAGTGTTTATCAAAACATATGTCATTCTAGGTAAAACAAGGTGGGAGGAAAATAACTAAAATTTCTTATGAATTTGCATTCTGAGTCAAGTCTGTCAGTCTATCACTGAAATAGATGTCTAGTCTTATGTAAAAGTTGGAAAGAAATTAATAAAAGAAGAAGTTAGAAAAGTGCTGTGAAAGGAGCAGAAGGCAGGAGATTTATTTGTTTATTTATTTATTTATTTATTTATAAATCAGTTCCTTGTGTTTACCTCACTACTGCTCATTATCCATCTCTGACTTCCTAGGAATGTGGAGTAGTATCTTCTCCAAAAACCTCTTGGATGCCTGGCATGCAGCTGATAATTCAGAGGACTTCTGGCACAGATGGACCCAAGACAAAGTGACTGAAATCGGTAAATCTCCAGTGCCTTTTGAATTATGGCCTCCCTTCTCCAGGCCCCTCTGATACGGGATGAAATAACATACCTCTGACACAGTAATTGCACTCACATTTCCCATGTTTTGTGTTCATCTGTCAGCCTGGTGCTCTCAGTCTTGGGTTAGGGAAAGTACTGGGAAAATTAAGTGCTTTGATGTTACTGAATAGCCAGTGTTTTGCTTAATCTGAGACTGGCATTAGTGAGATTTGTATTAGAAGGTAAGGCACTATCAGACAGACCTTGATGGAAAGAAGATAAGGATGGCTATATAACATGATCTCTAAAGTGCTGAGTTAAAATACTTTTGGGAAGAATTGCTTCAATCAAAGCCTCATGGCATCTCTATTTGTTGAGCAGCTTGAGAGTTTTGTTTTTTTTCCTTCAGTTTCTGTTCCCTCTGCATTGTGTATACTTCCCTCAAAATCTGACTGAACTGCAAGATTTATCAGAGGTCCAAGGAAATCAGTGTAGTAGAGCTTTATTATGCCAGCTGAGAAGGGCAGCTCAGGACTGAAAGACCATTCCTTGAAAATACCCATGAGCAACTTCATTGTTAAAATTCAAGTGAAATCAGTGGTTTCATGTTGAATGGACTCATGTGGCATTTCTGTGGGCTATGTTTATTTTGGGAAAAACAACAAAACAAAACAACTATATTTGGGTTTATATAAATTGCAAATTTGAGTTGAATTCAGATGTGCAAACCAAACTGAACAAACTGTGTTTTAAGTCAAAACATTTTATTTAAAAATATTCAAGTTTTCTTTTCAAAATAAGCTTAAAATTTCAAATTTAGCCCAATCTAAAACCAGTAACCTTTTCAAATTTATAAATGAAATGATTTTACTAGCTTTTTGTTTGCTTGGAAAACTGAATTGTTTTGATGTCTACCAAAATCCTCTTGTTTTATGAGAAAAATGCTACTTCAATCAAATATGACCAATCGCGGTTTAGAAAACAAAAGTGAGTTTATGTTTTATCAAACAATTGTCTGGAACTCACTGCAGACCATAAGGCAAAATAACTCTCTACAACTTCCTTGTGAGAGGAAGTGGAGAGGGAGGTGCCAGTCTTTGCTCCCTGGTAACTGATGTCAGGATACATGTGAATGGGAAGAGCTGCACTACAGGATGTTCAGACTAAGGAAAAACATAAATAAGGAAAAAATTATTTACTGTGAGGGTGGTCAAACACTGGAACAAACACTTTTTGCTGATGCTGATGCTCAGCAACTTTCAGGTCCAGCCTTTAAAAAGGTGAACACAAAGAGCTCTAAATATATTGTTACTACTGTTGGAAAAGTCATTGATCCTTTCTCTTCTTTGCATCTGGTTCACATCTTAATTGTGACTATAATTTAGTTGTGTGTAATTTATGCCATGTACCTCTAGAGGAACAACCGGACTTGCCTGAGAAGCCCTACGAGATGGCTACCTGCATGTTCACTCCTACCAGTGGCCTCTCCACAACTCTCCGGGATATCCTGACGGACCGCCCTGCTGTCTCCAAGTACCACAACTTCCTGAGGGGCTTCCAGATGCACAACGAGTACATCCAGCACGAGCATTTTGCAAAATGGAAAGGTGTAGACAGCACTTCTGCTCATGAGCCATAGTGGCTCATCTGAGCGGGCACAGGGGTTGGAATTCAGATGTGGGATGTTTGTAAATCCTGCAGAAAACAGAATGGATTTTGTGGTCCACTGTTATTCTTTGATGAAAGAAAAGAGAGGGAAAATGAAGTAACTCCTTACATCCCTCACTTCCAGTAACAGGACTGTTCAGTTTTGGGGTGATTTGGTACTGACAGTCCTTCCTGAAATAAAAATCATTGGGATGGGACTTTGCATATAGAAAACCTGCCGTTGGTTTGGTGCAGCTTATGGGCTTGGAAAGACTGATAAAATGTGAGTAGAGAGGCTGAAGGAAGCTTTAGGATTGTTGCATGATATCCAAAAATGAAGGGAAATTCCTGCATGGGAGAAAAGCTTGCCTTTCTTTTGTTTTCTAACTTGACAGGTGTCTTTCTGCTGTTTGTAAATAACTCCAAATCTGTCACTCTTTAGACACCTCACTAGACACCTCTCCTAATGACCTGAGAGGCAACTCGGAGCACCTGGAGCTGGTGGACGCAGCTTTCTTCTTTGAAACCAGCTGTCCACCCCTAATGAGACCAGAGAGGAAAGTGGATGTCATCATACACTTAAATTACACAGGTGGATCACAGACCTTGGTGAGAAGTCACAAAAATTACTTTAATAATGGCTTTTCCTTTAATTTCTTCAGCTTTCAGATAGGTGTCTGTAGAATGTTATCAGCAGAACCTAGTAAAATGGTGTTTCCAAGCCTTAGAAGAAGAATGGAAATTCCCAGAGGGAAGAACAACTCCATTTTTTTCCTCAAATCACTTTTGAAAGAATACTAAATGAAATACTCAGAGATCTCTGCTTCACCAATAAAGTGCAGAGTGGCACAATGAAATTATTATGGTTAAGCTGCAACTTCCATTACAATTTAACATAAGATTTTATAGCACAAATGTAGCTGGAAAAGATTTTTCTGTGATTCATATGTATAATTTATTCTGCATTTTCCTTAAATGTGTAATTTTTTATTTCTCTTTTAATTTTTTAAATGTGGTTTTTAGCTGTCCAAGAACAACCTAGAGAGTCAAGAATTTTGTCTTTTTTTTTTTTTTTTTTTTTATGAATGCATTTTTTCTCCTAATGCAGTGAGCTTGAAGCAAAACATCAAATGCATTTGCTATGTTTGAAAAAATCTGATTATAAAATGGCTACATAGATTTCAGAGATGGTATTTACCACTTAAGAAGACAAATTTAGACTTCCAAATGCATACTTGTAATTGTAAACCTGCTCCTGAAAGGCACCATAGAAAATATGAAGTTCACTGGTTAAGAATCTGTCGTTATTTTACAAGTGGATGATACTCTCATGCTGCTCTTACACTGTAATGCCACATGAAAATTTTTTGTCTCTGTACTGTAGCTGAAAAAAACACCACATGTAGTAACTCATACTGCATTTCCTTCTGGTAGTCTGAACTCTTTTGGAAATATTTAATTCACGTAAAAAACGGTGGTGCTTCAGTGTTTTGTCACATAATTTAGCAAAGTTTCATCATCACAAACGAGCTTTGTGATAAATGCTTTTAGTGTTATATTTTGAAGTTTAATACTCTTAAAATATGTTAGCTTGAAATTTCATATTATTTCTGAAAATCAAAATTTTAAATGGGGAAGTTGATCTCAAAACCCTGCTAAAATCTATTGAAGTCAATTTACAAATTATAAATGCTGTATAGACAGGTAACATGACTGAAAATCCTTACTGTCTTGGACTGAAAATTTAGTTTTGTTTAGATGCAAATTTTTCTTAGTTCTCCTTTAATTTATGATGCTCTTTAACAATCTTTCAAATTACCTGTTCTGTTCCTAAATCATATTTCCATTTTAAAGATGTGCCTTGGTACTGATCTAAAATCTTCTTTACCAACTTAATATCATGTGTTTTCCTGCATGTTTATTTTCAAAAAGTTCCTTAGGCAAGAGAAGAACTAGAGACTGCAGGTTCTCACATTATCTCTAACCTTCCAATGCTATCAGGCTATTTTATGCAGCTTAGCATGAATTAAGCAGCAGCCTGATCTTGTGTATCTTTTCCATTTCTTACTCTGCTGCTGTTGGGCACTGACCAGCCTCTAAAGCAGGCTTGCAGTTACTTCTCAGAGCAGGGAATTGCATTTCCCAACATTGAGCTGAAGGATGATGAGAAGAACCTGAAGGAATGCTACATGTTCGATGGTGCAGACACTCCAGGAGCTCCTCTCCTGCTTTATTTTCCACTAGTGAATGACACCTTCCAAAGATGCGTAGCACCTGGTAAGTTAGCATTACCCAGCTGTTTTATTGACCCAATTAACCTCTTTACTTCCTGAGAGTTTCTTCTTTAACCCAATACATACTGGTGAATACATTGCAAAAGGGGATGGCTCAAATTATTTGCAAAATCAGTGAAATCTTGGGCATAATTTTAGTTTGAATCTTGGTGCAGTTCAGTGAAAGAAGAAATGTGTTTCTCAAGTAGAGGAATGGGATCTAATTTCACCTTGTGATTTCCAAAATTTTATTTTAGGGTGTAGAACAAAGCCTAGTTTTCAGATACATATTTTTATGACATTCAGATCTAGGAAGAATTATCTTTAGAGTATAGATCTGTGGAGGCCCACTGTGCTTTCTGTTTACACTGTTTAACACGTTGATTGTATATGCTGGGAAATCAAAGCAATAGTATGTAAACTAAGACTTAATAAATGCAGTCACAGTGTTCTTTTGGACCACTGTTTGAGATACTGCCTTTGTTTTTATTATGATTTCCAAGGCTACTAATATTCTGCCTCCTCCTGTGCTGTACATCTCATTATTCCTTTTACCATTAGTATATATTCTACTCAAGAACCCTCATGGTATGACTTGGTGACCTGTGAACTCTCAAAAAATGAAAATGTCATGCCGTGAGTTGGCCAGTAGACGGTGCTGATTGCAATGGAATGTAGTGATGCATTTTTTTTTCTCTCTCCCTCTCTCTCTCTCTCTTTTTTTTTTTTTTTTTTTTTTTTTCCCTCTTCTTTGTTTTCTAAAAGGGTTTTGTTTAGAAGTACATTTTTAGAGATTGGAGTGCTGCAATTGTCTTCATATCAGCCACATATGTGATCTCTCTAAATTATTCTTGACATAGCCTATCAGAGTACTGTAATTCCCTGAGACTATACAAACACCTTCCTCTTTTCCCCTGACAGGTATGGCTCGTAGTGCTGCAGAAATGGAACAGGGCAAGATTGATCTCTCCAGTTTCTGCTCTCCGTACTCAACGAGAGAGGTCTCCCTGAAAGCAGAAGATTTCAACAAACTTCAGAGGCTGACTAATTACAACATAATGAACAATGAGAACATGATTCTTCAAGCCTTGCGCATGGCGGTGGCACGGAAGAAACAAGCTCTGAGCCATCCAGTATCACAAGCACAGGCCTCTGGTTGAACAGCATTTTCCTCTCTTATTAAATATTTATCACGACAAAACAGAATTATATATCAAATGCAATAGCTACTTCACTTTTCTTGGCAGGCGCCATCTCTTTCTAAGTAGCCTTCTCAAAAAAGAAAACTTGAAGTACTGACTTCAGAGCCACATGGTTTGGTTTACTGATATAGCTGCTTTTTTTGGTCAGAAGTTTTGATATCAGACAGGCTGGTCTGTTGTTAACACCATCTCATTGTGATGCACAGAATGCAAATTCAGCTGTGTGTGATAGGGAAATAGTTTTAACTTTCTCTCTGTGGTATCTTAATGGTTTGGTTGTTAGTATTTTTTCATCTGCAAAATATTCTGGCATTTCATTGTGACTATTGGTAACAAATCTATGAAGCCCTCTTCAGACACAGAAGTTGGTGATTTTAACATGTAAAAATATTTTATTTGGTTTTAATAACTTGAATTAAATGGTGTTCTACCTCATAAAACTTTTGTTGCCCAAATACTTTTTTGTTATGAATTGTCATGAAATATCACATGAACGATACTTAATTTTTCAGATTGTGATGGGTGATACATATATAGAGATAGTGACTTTTAGGTCTTTTTAGGTCTTTTTATGTTCCTTCTTAACAATTAAATCAAACTGATGAATTTGTTTTGAATGGCTACTGCCATTTTCTCCCACAATAAGCTGTATTCTGTCTCAGATCACATGCAGTTATCTCCCTGAAAAGCTATTTTGCTTCAGGATCATCTGGAACTTGTTCAATGTAGTGAGCTGAAATATTACCAAAACAAGTAGCATGTGAGGAGGATTGAAAGGTGTATGATAATTGCATCCACTCATTCGCACTATTGAAATGGAGTAAGAAAGCAATATTCTGTTCACTGCATCACAGTTGTTAACCAGCCATAAAATGTAAAATACATCTGCAAGTGCAAATTAAGATACAATTGTCACAGAGTAACCTAGTTATTTGACAAGTATATTGAAGTTCAGTGGCTGAGGGCGAAAAGCTGATTTAAGCACACACAAAAATGTAACAGCTCTCCAACACCAGCGTGATTACCAAAGAACAGATGAAGAGGTGTCCAAAGCATTTCCTGAGAATGCACTAAATGATGTGCGTACACACATGATGAAGGCAACCTGATGAGCAATCCATAAACAAAAAGCAGCACTCCTCTTCAGGCTGTCCAGGAGACCGGTTTGTAACAGAAACAGGAAATGGTTGTGTGTCATTCCAAAGAAGTGAGAGCTTGTCCGTCAAAGCATGGATGTTGATCAACCACCACTGCACCTGCATGTTTATATATAACAGAATATATATCTTATATTTCTTCCACTTCAGCTAATAAGAAATTTCATAACTAAATCCTCTCCCCCTTTGGGCAATTGTTTAGATATTATGAAAAAAAAATTAACTGTTTTGCTTTAAAAAATAAAATAAAAAAAAAAAACGAAAGAAAGAAAGAAAAAAAAAGCTCAGCTGCTCAGAGAAGGGAATCTACTGAAACACACAACAGTCAAGAACAGTCAAGAAAAGTCCACCATAGAGGGAAGTGTAGTTTGTTATGAATTTTTCCTCAGAGGCAAATTACTGGAGAAAGATGAATAGTCTTTAGTCTTTTCTAGAACTGGAGCTGGTTATTTTGGTCCTAGACCCACAAAAAGGGTAGTGAGACATAGACAGTAGCTGGCAGCTGGCCAGCCAGGATGAGAGTCAGAAGAGTCTCTTACGTCCTTGTGCAGCCTGGCCTAAAAGAAGTAGGTAAGAGCTATAGAAGGGTCTTTTCTCTACTCATATTTACCAGCAAGGCATGTAGATATTTTCACTCTTATCTTAAATCCTGTCTGACATTCTATCTTAAAAGCCACTGATAAGCTCAAAATAAAGAACCCAAACTGTCAAAATGGGCATCATGTTTTAATCTTTAATGCCTACCAGGGAGGGTCTCATCATGTTTGTCAGAGTTGTCCTGTTACTGCAAAGATCTGAGTGTTGTATCAGCCAAGTCTGCCAAGTCTCCTGGGGTACCCTGGTTCATATGGTTCATATGGTGAGGACCTGCTCACCTGGTTTTACCAGCCTCAGGCTAGTTAGAAAATACATATTCCTTAGAAAAGGGACCTAAGGGTCCCTCCTACAGACTGCTACACCTTCTGCATGTCTATTAACAGAATTTGAGATGTACCCTAAAATATTAGAAAATCTGAACCAAAACAGAAACTGTAGTTTCTTGGACATTGTCATTGTGTTTTCCGTTACTGGATTCTTCCTGTTCTGTATGCTCATGCTAGATGTGTCCCAGGTGCCCGTCCTGGGCCTTACCACTGGGCCTTCTAGCAGAGCCATTTGCTAGCCAGTGTCCAGGATGGGATCCCTCCAGCTCCACCTATGCCCTCCAGTGCTTACTGTAGGGGACACTCCCTCTGAGTTTAAGAGATCCTCTGGAGGAGGGGATAGAGGTCTGGACACTGGTCCAGAGTCTTTCCTTGAACTATTCAAGTCAGACTTTCCCAGGGGAAGACTCAGGAGACAACAGCTCGACCATTGCAGAAGCTAACAAAACAGTCCAGGCTTACCCACTTCCTGATCAAATTTCTCAGCTTTGGACAAACAGCCAAGGCTGCTTGTCTGATTCGGCATCTTTTCATGGATTTACTTGGTTTACCTGATTATTGAGCTTGGTAATACTTATTTCTTACTGTACAGAGCAGGATGATTTGATTTTGGGAATGATTGTTGTAGACAGGGCAATAGGATTTAAGGAATGTTATTATGATGCTGAAGATCTCTTACCAGAAAGAATGCCTTTTGGGGAATGTTGTAGGTACAGGACTGAGTTTTTTTATTGTGCATTTTCCTGATGTGTGTAGAAGGGGAAGACAGGTGGTGGGTACTACCACCATTTTGTGAGAATACAGCATCAGCTCCAGCAGACATCAAATGGTGATTTCATACCAGATATCTGGGCTTGTTAGTAGTGGGATACATACACAGGTATTTACATATCTGCTGTTGCAGTTTTCTGCCAGAAAAAAAAAAAAAAAAGTGTCATTTTTATACCAATTTAATTACACTGTATCATGTTGAAAACAACTAGACATTAGCATTTAAGATAAATAAATGTATGCCCAAATTTGGAGGAAAATGTGTTGTGTATTTTTTTTTGTCTTGGTTTATTTTTTGCTTGTTTGTTTTCTTTTTTTGCTTGTTTGTGAGGGTCCTGAAAGCAGGAAAACATATAATCAAGCTGACCAAGTACACACATGAAAGGGGGGGGGGGAAATCTACCAGTGTGTAACTCTACCTTAGGAAAGTAAATCAAATTTGGTTGAAATGCAGAATCTTTAAAAGTTTTCTCCACAATACTTTTGACTGTTTATTGAATTACTGCTAAACTGCTGTTTTCCTTCATCCTACACATATCTACTGTTATCTTCTCTGATTTGTGCGTTGTTAGACTGCCAGGTTATAGGTATCCATGCAAGTGCTGTGCACTATCACTCCTTAATCTTGATTTGCTAATAGCTCTAAGCATCTTGGCGTGTACAGCATTCCTCCAACACACACCTGTGGTGTTTAGCTATCAAATAAACTCAGCAAATTCCCTCCCCTTCTCTCTTCATACTTTCCCCTTCAGGCAATAAAGAAGGTGGGGCATAGATAAGCCACTTGGTGCTCAACAGGTGCCTCCTTAAAGTTTGCAGAGGTGCTTCACAAGTCACTGCCAGCTGTTGCCTGTAACACTAACGTGACAACCATATCTGACTTGTATGCAGCTGGGAGCAAAATGGGATCCTACTGGAGTGCTCGTGAGGTAAGAAATTCAGACTAAAATTCATTACAAGCTGAAGATGACCTGGGGTGTGTTTGTGACTGGGATTCTGGTGTCTAGAATAGGTCTCAGGAGCTGTTAGTCCAACTTTATGCATGTATTTATTTATGTCAGGCAGACCTATGGCTTTGCTGGTACTAACATCCCTGTGGAGGCATTTTTGGTGGTGGAGAAAAAATCAGCTGCACTGGGTGACCCACACAGAGGTTGGGAAGAAGTCCGATGTTTCTCACAGAAATTTGCTGAGGATCTGGGCTGAATCTGTGGTTTGATGTAAGCATGTTGGGGTCTTTCTCAGCACAGCATTTGTCAGCTATGAGTATTGTCGTTTGCTGTGCCTAGGTAGCTGTGCTAGCAGCCACCTGGTAGTGGTTTACATAGGAGAGTCACAGACTTACAACAGTAGTTAATCACAGACACAAAGATAGAACTAGTTTGACGTTTGTGCATGGCTGACACCCAAGAAAATCTTGGACTGTGAATTCTTTTTCTTTTTTTTTTTCTTTTTCTTTTTTTTTTTTCTTTTTTTTTTCCTTCCTCTCCTTTGGTGGAACATAGGCAGGGAAAGACACAAAACTCTCTATTGGGCTTCAGAAAGTCTCATGCTCTGTCCTTTCCTCAGCTCTGAAATTAACTTGCTGTCTGACTATGAATGAGTTACTTAATCATTCTGTGGTCATCTTCATTAGCTCTAAAATGGAAATTACAGAGCATTTCTGCATAACAGGGATATGTTAGCAAAAGTGTTCATTGAAACCAATGAAGGGCTCAGAGACCTCCAGTGTGGGACCTCCATGGCTTAACAAACAAGCAGAGTGAAAGTGTAAGCAAAGTGATTAAAGAAACCCTATGAATCTATAGGTTTATCATTTCAAAAGGACAGGACAGTAATGAACAGAATCTTGCAATGGTCTTCACGTGGGAGAAATGTGCTCAAAGCATGGTGGAATGGGGCCCCTCATCCTTTCTGCTCTTCCCCCCTGTCCTTAACCAATAAAACAGCCCCATGAGAATGAGTAAAGCTAGAGGTTTCTTAGTGATAGAGGGCAGGAGAACCAGTCTTCCAATTTTGCTGCATGGTGTTAAAAAGTGCAACAAACTCTTATGGGAGTGCATGCTTTATGAAGCATAAACCATTTAATGTTTATGCGACTATTTGTTTTGTCATATTTCTGCAGTGTGAAGAATGTCCATGCAGCTCCCTCTCTGTAAAAGTCATAAGGATGAGAAATCTGAGAAAGGCAGATCTGTGTGAGTATCACAGTTTTTCTTTGATAGTAGTTCAGTTCAGAAAGCAGTAAGGCTAACCGAGCACTGTAACATGTATCTGTGTACAAAGTGTCACCATGGTTTCAGATATTGTTCCATGTTTGAATATGTGCTATTCTTAAAATACACTCTTTTATAAACAATACCTTTCAGTTTATAGAAGTGTTACACTTAATGGAAATACCAAAAGTCAGCCGTGGTATACTGTGAAGTGTCTTAACTGTTAAAAAGTAAGTGTCAGTTACAGTGTCTGACGTGCTGTGATACAGGCTGTGCCCCTGCTTCTGGATGAAAATGCCAGCACTGATGATGAGTGGCTGCTACAGGCTGTGGGGTAATATGAGGAGCTCTGCTACCATCTGTCTGTCTTTTG